AAGAAGATGTGGCACATATACACATTAGAGCTCTACTCAGCAGTAAAAAACAATGACATCTTGAATTTTGCATGCAAATGGATGGAAATAGAAAACGCTATACTGAATGAGGTAACCCAGACCCAAAAAGAGGAATATGGTATGTACTCACTCATAAGTGGATTCTAGCCATAATTAAAGGTCTTTGAACCTATAATTTGTGATCTCAGAGAAGCTAAATAAGAAGATGAACCTGAAGAAAAACATATATTTATCCTCCTTGATATTGGAAGTAGACAAGATCGCCAGGAAAAAGTTGGGAGCTTGGGGGTGGGGTGAGGTGGGGAAAAGGGGAGATGGGGAGAGAGAAGGAAGAAGGGGAGGATTGGGGAGAGCTTGGGGGAATGGGATGGTTGAGATAAAGGAAGAGTGGATATGGGAGCAGGGAAGAAGATATCTTAATTAAGGGAGCCATTTTAGCATTGACAAGAAGAGAATTGTCTCTAGAGGGGTTTCCAGGTGTCCAAGGAGATGTCCCCAGCTTGTTCCTTGGACAGCAGAGGAGAGGGTGCCTGAACTGGCCTTATCCCATAGCCACACTGATGAATATCTTGCATATCACCATAGAACCTTCATCCGGCGATTGATGGAGATAGAGACAGAGAACCACACTGGAGCACTGGACTGAGCTCCCAAGGTCCAGATGAAGAGCAGAAGGAGGGAGAACATGAGCAAGGAAGTCAGGATTGAGAGGGGTGTGTCCACCTGCTGAGACAGCGTGACTGACTGATCTAATCGGAGCTCACCAAGGTCAGCTGGAGTGGGACTGAAGGAGCGCATGGTCAGACCGGACTGTCGCTGACAATGAGCGATGACTGAGAAGCCAATGATAATGGCACTGGGTTTTGATTCTACTGCATGTACTGGCTTTTTGGGAGCCTAGTCTGTTTAGATGCACACCTTCTTAGACCTGGATGGAGGGGGGAGGGCCTTGGACTTCCCACAGGGCAGGCACCTTGACTTCGCTTAGGACTGGAGGAGGAGTGGAGGGAGTGGGAGGGAAATGGGAGGAGGGGAAGAGGTGGAAATTTTTAATAAATAAAATAAAATAAGATAAATAAAAAAGAAAGCTGTTCTTGCTTCTAGTTCCCATACTGTCACAAACTACTTGAATTATCTTCAGCAATTTAATGAATCTGTCTAATCTATTTCCCAAAAAGTACACCATTAACATATTTCCTGAAATGTACTGTTACAAAAATCTAATGGTTTTGTAAAGCAAAATGCCAGATAATACATGTTGAATTTTGAAATAAATAAATAAAATAGAGTCAGGAAAAATGAGTAATATGAGAATGTATGCAGTCATGCCCAACACAAAGCTCTCAAAACCTAACTAAAAAAATAATGAAGTCTAACAATTAAACAGGATTCTCTCTCTCTCTCTCTCTCTCTCTCTCTCTCTCTCTCTCTCTCTCTCTCTCTCCTGTTCCTCCCCCCACCTCTGCCCTGGCAATGCTGAGCATTCATGGGCAGCTTCTATTAAACTTGTCCATATTGGGTAAACTTAGTGAGTGGTATACCGTATAAATCAGTATGGCAAACATTTGAGCCCTTTAAAAATGTTTTTTAGGGTCAGACCTTGGTTCAAAACAATGGCTATTCACTCCGTAGACACAGTAACATTCATTATACATCCTCTACCTCAAAACTGTAATTATTGCCTCTACAGGACTATTAGTAGACTATTAGTGTAATGGAAGAACTAAACTCCACAATTGAACTTCAAATAATTGTGTCCGTCTTAGTGAGTGCAAATGAGAAGAGTCTATGTTGATAGGTCACACCAAATGCATCATACAAGGCCTTACAGGTGTTTGTAGATGTTTAGTACACTATAAAATCATTGAAGGCTTCTGAATAATGAACTAACCTGATTTGTGCTGTCAAACAATGCCCTCTTAAATTATATAGACAATGGTCTAGAGGAGGACAAGTGAAGATGTAGGAGGCTAGGAAGGAAGTTCAGTAAATAACGTTGTGGGTCAAGACATCAGCACTTGAAATTTAGAGAAGCAAATAGAAAGGAGACATGTTGTGAAGGTAGTACTGACATTCTCAACCATAGAGGGAAGAGAAAACTCCAAGATTTCTGTCAGGTACATGCTGTACCACATAGTGCAATGAGACACATCAGCAGAAGAAATAGGTATAGAAAGAGAATAAAAGCGAGGCTTCTGGGACTGAGGGGATGGCTCAGTATATAAAGCGCTTGTGATGCAAACATGAGGTCCAGAGTTCAGATCCCCAGTGCTATGTAAAAGCTAGGTGGGAGTGGCAACCTGCCCGTAATCCCAGCACTCAATAAGACAGAGACAGGGAATCCTCAGAGCAAGCTGGATAGCTAGACTTGTCACATTAGTAAGCTCTGGGTGAGAGTGAGAGGCCCTACCTTGATGTATAAGGTGCAGAATAGTTGAGGAATCAACCTCTGGCCTCCAAATGCATTTATACATAGGTTCTCTCATGCACATGTGAATATGCATTTACACATGCAAAAAAGCAAGGCTTCCATTGCAGTAGAGATGTTTCTAGAATATCATGTGAATATATATGAATTGGGTAATTGTATATAGTTCACTAGAACTCAAAAGGAAATTTAGAACAAAAACAAACAAGATTTTGATATGGACTAAGCTTATGCAGTAGAAACCTTTTTTTTTCCTTCAATCTAGCAACACTCAGTGATAAAATTCATGATACTACCAAGAACGGTTTTAGTAGACTGGTGTGGGAGGATGCAAAATTGGAAAATCTAACAAAAGAGGGATGAGGTGGAAACAATTCCGCAGGATAAACTAATAGGGAGAAAGAATACACTCAAGAGCAGATAAATACAGAACAAGGTGCGTATTTTGAAAGCGGCAATGTTAGACAGAGGATCCCCAGCATGTTTAAACTCCCACTGGCAGCTAGAGTGAGACATGAAAACAGCTCATAAGGTTTAAGGTCAGTAAGAACGGGTGAAGCTCCAAATCCTATGCTGGAAGAGAGATAGGAGAGTCATTGAAATAGACAAGGCAGGTCAGAATGGTGCAGGCCCAGACACGGCTTACAGATTTAGTGAGAAAGGCATGAAGACATTACAGCCTCACGAAACCTATTCTGAAAGACAGACAAGGACATCTTCTCATAACGGTTGTGTGGTTATCAGAGGATGGATCAAGAAAGGAAGAAAGAAATGGGGTAGATGAGACAACTATGGGTTTGCAATGGAACTAAAGTTGTTCTCATGACTTGGGTGTGTCTTAGGGTTTTTATTGCTCTGAAGAGACACCATGACCATGGCAATTCTGATATAGAAAGCATTTAATTGGGGTGATTCACTTACAGTTTCAGAGGCTCAGTCCATTATCATCATGATAGGGAGCATGACGAAAGGAAGGTGCTGGAGAAATACTTGAGAATCCTGCATCTTGCAGGCACCAGGAAATGGATTGAGACACTGGATTGCATCCTGAGCACAGGAAACTTCAAACTGCTCCCACAGTGATATTTCCTCCAACAAGGCCGTACCCACTCCAACAAAGCCGTACCCACTCCAACAAAGCTGCACCTGCTAATAGCTCTACTCCCTATGAGATTACGGGGGCCAATTATATTCGAACTACCACATTGTGAGTTTCAGTGACTCAAACCTCCAGCAAAGTCTCAGCAAAATGGTGAAGTTTGCTAATTTCAGAATCTGCGCAAGGTAAAGGTGATAGAATATAGACCTCATATGCGGTAGGGGGAGCAAAATCTACAAGTACAAAGAGTGAAATTACTAGTTGAATGTTCAGTGGATGGTGAAAACTGTGTGTTGAGTGAGACTGGAGTTAGACCACAGGCGGAAACTCCCCAAACTTTCTCAGTTTGTCTACATGAAGTGTCCCCGAAACGCTTTTCCCTGCACTCCTTTAGCCATTGCCTGGGCTACTTGTCTGTTTCACAGTGCCAGTGTGACACATAGGACAGGGACTGGGCTCACTCAGAGCAAGACTAAAAACAGGACCATAAACTGAATTAAGTTAACTTGTAAATTGTAAGAATTTCAAAATGCACGGAAAGTTCCCACCAAGTGCTCAAAAAATGGTAGCTTCGAACAGGTTTCTATTTTATTTTTAAAGGAAAGGCTCTGGCTTGTAAACACTCGGATGGCAGTCCGTACTGTTGAGTGTAACTTTCAGAATTTTTAGAAATTTTTAGAACTTGAAAGGAAGTACAGGATAATGTCTACCACAAGCCCCTCTACTGTTTGAAGATTTTACTTTGATTCCTAAATCGTGTTCTCTGAGATGCAGAACGTGTCTGTGCGCGTTTGTACCGAGAGGAAAAAAAGGGGGATGGGGAGAGGGAGTGGGAGAAAGAGAACGCAAAAACTCAAGCAAGTCACCAAAGAAGAGAGCTTTGAAAACCAGGGCAGCTCTGCAAGTGCGGCTCTTACTGAAAATCTTGATATTGTGTGCTTGTCCACTAGGTGGCGGACCTCTCTTCTAACACTAGAATTAGCTCTACCAGGTTTGTGTTCCTCACACAACACCACACATGACTTGTTACGTGAAGGAGATGCAACCTCGTAAATTATTTGTACAACTTTCAACCTAGAAGCAGGGCGGTGGTGACGCACGCCTTTAATCCCAGCACTCGGGAGGCAGAGGCAGGTGGATCTCTGTGAGTTCGAAGCTAGCCTGGTATACAAGAACTAGTTCCAAGACAGGCTCCAAAGCTACAGAGAAACCCTGCATCGAAAAAGAAACAAACAAAAAAAAAACCAAACCAAAACAACAACAACAAAAAAAACCACCTTTCAACCTAGAAAACAGCGTTCAAATGCAAAGGGTGGGAACGACTGGAAAGAAGAGGAGTCTCTGCGGAAGGAGCAGCACCGGGAGATTAAACTACAACTCCCAGGAAGCCGTGCGCTGGCTCGGGATTGTGCGCTTGCGTCCCGTCCTCGCGTCATGCTTGCGGTGCTGGGATTTACAGAGAGCGTAGGCAAAATGCGGTGTGCGCGCTGCTGCGTTGCCTAAGTCCTCCTTTCCCGACCGTAGCATCCTGCGGAGCCCGGTGGTTCCGTTCTTCATTTGTAAAGTCTCCGGGAAACTTAGCTTGTGTGGTTGCTCAGTGTGTCATGTGGCCGGTCACGTCACGTGACTGCGAGAGCCCGCCCGCCTGTGGAGGTCTGTTGCCCGGACAACAGCTGACTGCCGGGACTTTCCGGGAAAGCGCGGGCTCTTGGTAACAGGTAGGTCAGGCGCTGTCGCTGCACACGACCCTGTCGATGTTTCCAGGTTGTACCTTAGGCCGGGCCCCAAACTTTTATTTGAGCCTTACTCCGCTCCTGTGCCCGAACTCCAAATCGGATGCTTCTTTGCTTCGCGCCAGCCGCCAAAATCTGCACTTCTTGCAGCCTGAACACCACCAGTCCGAGGGCCCTTTCGTGGGGTCCACCTCTGATCAAGCTATTTGTGCAACTCCTTATCCTGACCGTTGGCCCTCTTGGTCAGAAATGCAAATAAAGGCATTAGGTGTTGCCCTGCAGGTTGGAGTGAATATTATACATTCGAGTCCTCGCCCCAGTCCCTTAGAAAAGCAACCAGGGTTTGTGCTGCCCCCAGAGGGTTAAATCCAAAAGCTAGGACAGATCTGAAGATGGGCTCACCCAGGGGAAAGAGTTGAGCCTTGAGCTACAACTTGGCTAGATCACCCTCAAGATGTTCAGGGCATTGTTTCTGTTAGCCTGCCTTTACTTCCAAAGAAACACTTCATAATAATTAGTGTATATCATTAAACTAGGCATTACTTAATTGTGCCTGTTTGGGGTGTTTTAAGGCAGGGTAGCACCGTGTAGCTCAGACTAACTTGGAACTCAGGCCGTAGCCCAACTAGAAAGCCTTATGTCTCCTTATTGTAGGGATTTCAGGCGTGCGTCACTAAATCCTTTATTGTATTCTGAGTCTTATAAATTCACTTTATGCCTGGAAACATCATCCCTGCTTGTAGGAAATCTGTTTTGCAAGACCATTAATTTGGATCAAGCAGCACGAACCGTGCTGTCCTTTACAAGGAGAAAGTACTCCACTTCCTGCTTTTTTTTTTTAACATTCTCTGTGAGGACCTGGTTTTTGAGAGCTTTTAGTAGCGACAAATACTAACACAGTGGAAAGTGTGGAGCCCTCCTCTTAACAGTTGGATGAAATGTAATTACGGACCGGACCGTGAGGAGAAGATAAACTTCACCAGCTACTTTCTCAAGTCAGCTGCTCCAGTGAATTAGGACTCCACTAGCATATTGTAATTGTGATTTTTATTCTGTCTTGATGAAATTTTTCAGACATTTAGTGTTGTTTCAATGATGATTTCCTCAAGAGATTTATTTTTCTGTTTTGTCAGTTAGGGTTTCCAGTGCCTTAAATACTTCTGGATGCTTTCTTTGTGAAGTGAAAATTACTAATTATGGCTCACTATTCCAAAGAAGAGCTTGATGAAGAATTTGAACAATTTATGAAGGAGGTAAGTTCAAGCCTTCTAAAGCTTTATTGTAAATTTCTCACCTAAGACCCCTCCTTAAGTACTTTCATTTAAAAACATAACCACCGCATCAGCAAGCACCTCCCTTCATCCCTTCAGCTCCTCCCTACGAAGATACCCAGGAGCCCTCGGTTCCTTCTCATTTCAGACACTGGCATCTGTTAGCACAATGCCATCATCTCACCTCCAGAATATACCCAGGAGCCCTCGGTTCCTTCTCATTTCAGACACTGGCATCTGTTAGCACAATGCCATCATCTCACCTCCAGAAGATATCCAGGAGCCCTTGGTTCCTTCTCATTTCAGACGCTGGCATCTGTTACGCAATGCCATCATCTCGTCTAGTCTACCCAAGCATTCCCTCCATGCTCCATGTGGCACGCATATGCGAACATGGATGTACACACACATACACACACACCACATCATGGTTTTATAAGAAGCGTGCTAACTCCCTTGATCATCACGATAAATTGTTAAACAAACATTTTGCTCAAAGATATGCTTCAATATCTGGTTTTAAGAGAGTAGTTAAACCCAGTTTTTTAAAGTTGACTTTCTTCAGTCATAATTCATAAACCATACAACTCGCCTATTTAAAATGTATATAACAACTGTTTTAGTATATCATAACCTTTGCCATAGTCAACTGTAGAACGCGTTCATCACTCGTCCTTCCCCAGGCTGGGGTAACCACTATTGGCTTTTCATCCCCTGTTTTGGCTTCATAGAAATGGAGCCCTACTGGTCTTTGGAGTCTGGCTTCTTTTACTTAACATAGTGTTTCCAATGAAATATTCCTATGTTATAGCATGTCTTGGCATCAGTTCCCTTTAGTAAGTAGCTTGCCATTCTGTGGGTATACTGTATCTTGTTAAGTTTACAGATGACAGACATCGAGATCTTTCTACTTTGGACAGTCATGGATAATGCTGCTATGAATAACCACACAGCTTTGAGTGTGGATGGATGTTAATTTCTTCTGAATATTTGCCTAGAAGTGAAATTGTTGTGTCATACACTATGATTCCCACTAACAGTGTATTCATTTATAAAGGGCCCAGTCTTCAGTATCTTCCCTAATACTGATCCTATGTGTGGGCCAGGCTTTTTATTTTTGTTTGATGGTAATGCCAGCGAAGCCGTGTAGAAGATCTTGAAAGGCAGAACACTTGCAGTGTTTTGGAAGGGTGGGCCGTCATCATTTGTCTCTCTGTCTTTGCCACCGCTCTGAATGGCAATGATCCTATCCCTGTGTGTAGACAGAGAAACCATGGAGCTGAGGGCAAGAGGTGGACCGTTTCAATATGGTAGTAATGTTTAAAGACAAACTGGAAAGTGATAGAGATACCAGAGGTCCAGGTTGAAATAAAGTGATATATTTTTTCTTACACCTTCCCCTTTTCTTACTTGGAAGACAATGAATTCTTTTTAAGCATTTTAAAAATTAAAACTCCATCAAGTTGTTGAGATAGCATTTTCTGTGTGGCAGGTGAAATCATCATCTTGGAAGTTTAGTCACTCACCCTGGTACTGTCCCAGTGGATAGCTGTCTGCAGTGGTGGGAAGTAGACAGCCCTCGGCGGAGTCCTGAGTTAGTTTGGGTCCCACTTGTTATCACTCTTTAATGGTTGCAGTGTGGCAGTCGTTCCCTCTGGGTTTCAGTTTCTCATCAGTAGTCTCTGCAAGGTTGTTTAAAGATAAAGTAAGATGAGCCAGGAGCAGCCCTGACCCTAGGAAGGCACGTGATAAACATGATTCCATCCTAGGGCGTGGGGGGGTGGGTGGGGAGGTGAGATGCAGAATGAGAATGGAAAAGGAAGAGGAACGTAGTGTAGGGAAGATCTCATGTTGAAGGAGTGGGCTCAGGAGCCCCTGACTGTTAACTAGCTATGTGTGAGGCCACAGAACTGAAGAGGCGCCTAGAAGAAGGATTCACCTCAGTTCATAGCTAGAACCTTATAGGAAGGTGTTGGTTTCCATAATGTAGTCAACGGATGACTTGATATCATTTTCTTTGCAGCAGACATTTAGAAAGCCTCCTGGTCCCTGAGGGAAACCATTTTGGATGAAACCACATTTTATGGGACTGAGCAGTTAATTCAAGAATTGCTCTGTAAAGGAAAAGCTAGATAGAGTACACGAGAGGTAGTGATGAGGAACTCATCCTGTATCCCCCCACCCCAACATAAAGTAGACTCTAGTATTCCTCCCTTAATCCCACATTTGCTCCAGGTACCTCTTGCTAGGTACTGAAGATCTGGTACTGAGCAGGTTTATAATCAGGAAAGTGGGAGGAAAGGAAGCTAAGGAGGTGACAGTTCAAGTGGGTTGCTAAGGAGCAAAGAAATGGGGAGAAGAAGTGACCCCTGCAGGTTCTCTTGAGAGCAGAGGAAAAAAAATGGTGTCTCTGAAGTGGGGGGAAGGACCTCCCAGCATAAGGGCATGGAGGAGACTGAGGAGAAGGACCTCCCAGTGTGAGAACATGGAGGAGGTGAGGAGAAGGGTGGCGTTTAGTTCTGTTCTCTCAGAAGAGGGAGGCTACCTTTGTTGACTAGAAGGAAGGAGGTGTTAGGGTTAGAAAAAGGGATTCAGAATTGTAGTTAAAAAAAATAGCTAAGGAGTAGGAAGGGACAAATACCTGTTGGTTAATATATGGGACAGAATGTTTATTTCTGTAATCTCATTTTTCACTCACAGAGACTGTATTCTAGAGTCATTGTAGTAAGTTTTCTAAATTGCCAGTTATTCTTAGACCCTAGAAAATGTCCAGAATATGGGGTCTATTCTTTGTTTTCTAAGCAAGTGTGTATATCATATTTTCTTATTTTGTTTTGTACCCGTCTTAGGGTTTCTATTGCTGTGAAGAGACACCATGACCACAGCAACTCTCTTAAAGGAAAGCATTTAATTGGGGCTGGCTTACAGTTTCAGAGTTTTAGTCCATTATCATCATGGCCGAAAGCATGGTGCCACTCAGGTTCCACATGGTGCTGGAAGAAGTTGCTGAAAGCAGGAAGAGAGAGTGACGTGGAGCCTGGCTTGAACATTTGAAACCTCAGAGCCCACCCCCAGTGACACAACTTCTTCCAACAAGACCACACCTCCTAGGAGTGCCACTCCCTGTAGGCCTAGGGGGGTTGTTTTCATTCCACCCCCATGGTACCTCACTTGTTTAATTCCAGATGTGTCGTCAGTATTCCAAGACATACGCTTGATTTTGAAGTTGACCACCTATGTCTGGAAATGGAATTTACACATTGTTTTTGTGACTTTTATTCATGTGATAATTGACCTGTGAAAGAGCTAAAGGAAAAACATCTGGGATTTTGTAATTTGAACTGTATTTTAAAATTTAACAATTTGTATCTTATTCAGCTTTCAGATGATTCTTTTGAAAATTCAAGCAAAACACCAACACAACCTAAAAGAGAAATGAAGAAGAAAGATACAGTGCCTTGGTGGATAACTGAAGATGATTTTGATGACGGTAAAGACTGATAATTTTTTGTTGTTTTAAATCATTTGACCACAAGAGGTCAGTCAAGACTTTTAAATTCTGTATTTACTAACTAAAGAAAACTGAGGTTTGAGTTGATTTTCATACTGTTCTACTTTGTTGCACATTATGTAATTCAGAATATCTTATTGCATTAATTTGCACTGAGATCATTTAAATTAAGATTAGTCAAATAATTTACATATTTGGTTTACTAATCTGCCACTATATTCATGTAACTACATTAACAAATAAGTAGGATTTGGAATCACAGTTTGCTACTAAGTAATGCCTCAACTGTAGCACATGCCTTTGTCTTCTCTGACCTGTCTTTATACTTTCCCCAGGATATTCCTGGTCACATTTTATAACTGCAGTGTGACTTTAGTGTTGCTCACACATGTAATAGGTGTGCATCATGCGTAGTGATATCCATGCTTCAGCAAATCACACTATGTATGACGTGGACTTATGCTTCTGCTGCTGCCCCAGTTGTGAAGAACCATGACTGCTCCTGTGTTCTCCGTACTTGTGGGTCAGGGTTAAGCACAACTATGGTGATGAATAGCATTTCTATTTCTCCTGCCTAGGGGAGGATTTTACCTATGGCTTTTATTGCTGTTTGTGGGGTTTGTCTGTTTGTTTTTCTTTTTCCTTTTTCGCCAACAATATTGAGCCTCGATTCTCTCAAGTGACAGTTGAAGTTCCGTATACCCTCCTCTCTATATGTGTGATTCCGCCACACTTAAAAAACACCTTTGGATCCCAGCCTCTATGCCTTGCTTAACCCTTGCTTCCCTGCTGTCATAGGCCTTCATCTTAACGTCCTTGTCCAGTAAGGCTCATGTCACTGCTTCCCACAGTCCTGAAGTAACCTTCCTGCTCCCTCTTAACACAAGGGTTTGCTCTTTTGGGCCTTGAACATCACCTCCACATCGTATGGCACCCTGGACTTAGGAGCTTTGTGTGGATGGGAAGTGCTCCTTTCCTGCATTAGCATAGATTTCACAGTGCCCCCTTCCTGTGTCAGCATTGACTCGACGGTGCTCCTTATTCGCTGTGTTAGCATAGACTCCACAGTGCTCCTCCTTTCCTGTGTTAGCATTGACTTAACAGTGCTCCTTCTTCCCTGTGCTAGCATAGATTCTAGAGTGCTCCCCCTTCCCTGTGTTAGCATTGACTTCACCGTGCTCCTTCCCTGTGTTAGCATTAACTTCACAGTGCTTCTTTCCTATGTTAGCATTGACTTAACAGTGCTCCTTCTTCCCTGTGTTAGCATTGACTTCACCGTGCTCCTTTCCTGCGTTAGCATAGATTTCACAGTGCTCCCTTCCTGTGTTAGCATAGACTCCACAGTGCTCCTTCTTCCTTGTGTTAGCATAGACTCCACAGTGCTCCTCCTTCCCTGTGTTAGCATAGACTTCACAGTGCTCCTCCTTCCCTGTGTTAGCATAGACTCCACAGTGCTCCTTCCCTGTGTTAGCACTGACTTTACAGTGCTCCTTAGATTTTTTTTGTTGTTGATGATGATGTTATTTGTTATTTGTTAGTTGTTTTTAACTGTGATACATTAGGTGAGTTTCTCAGTGAAAACTTCAGGTGATTTTTTCATGAATTCCTTAAACCACATAACAATTAAGTATGCTTATAAAGAAATTTTTTTCTAGAATTAATTTTCCCATAGTGTTCAAAAGAGATATCCTAGGATAAAAGTACTTTGGAAACTGTTGCCAAAGATTTGGGGCTTAATTAGTATGGAAGCCTTTTGTCGAGAAAGAACTAAACCAGAGCAGAAATAAGCAAATATTCTTAATGGAAAGAATAGCTCCTAGAACAAAAATACTTACCTGTAACAAATAAAACTGTAAGATGTTCAAAGTAGATGCAGTGAATAAAAGAAGCAGCAAAGCTAGGTGAAGCACAAACCCTTAGACTTCTGTAGCACCTGAGAGCCCCACTCCACCCCACTCCACTCCGAGTGCAGCCTGCACTGTTCCCAGTCACAAGCATTTCGTGAGTTCAGAGTGCATTCTGTGTACCAGGCTCTGATGTGTTCACTAGGTGGGAGTCCTGACACAGACTGAAGCAGCTTCTGAGGGCCCTGTATACCCATCCTAAGGACAGGGGTTCATTCATTAGCAGTCTTGATTAGCTACCAGTAAACATTAAAACTGAACAAATTCTTATAGAATGTTGGTTTTTGATTTTTCTCTTTCATTTGTCATAAGGCTAAGGGTCTGCCTAGTGAGTGAAGCTGGGATTCTCTGCTGGTCCATAACTAAGTTATCTTTGAGTTTCTGTTGTTGGTTGTTGGTCAGGGTCACCTCTGCTGAGCCCAGCGCTAGAGCTGGAGTGAGGAGTTGACACAACAGCAACCACTGTGGTTTGCACTCGGTCATCTGCGGGCTCCGGATAGATCCTAACTTGGTACAGCTGTGTGGAAATTACTGTGAGTTCTAGTAAGGCCACTGTTCACATAAAGCCAGGAAAAAACTTGATTCTGGAGCCCGAGGCTTTTTGCCAGGTTGATAGCAGAGACTGACCATGACACAAATCAATCATGAAATACATTTAATATCTCTATTATAATTTAGTTTCAGAGAAAGGGTGAAATTCAAAACTGTTGTTAGAGACAGTGATAGCCTTGCCTCTCCAAAAAATGTTACACATACCTTGGTGTGAGACTTTCCCACACCAAGTTTGAGAAATGATGACTTCAGAGATGTTCTGGTGTTTTCTTGAAATTGTATTTACAAGGAACTTGTCTAGCTCTCGTATGTGTCCTTGAACCTACTCTCCCTGTCTTGAGTTGTATATGTTGGTTCATATTTTTCATAGTCAGTGTCAAGCAACAAAACTGGGTAAGGAATCTTATGCAAACCTTTAAAATGTTCTTTTTAAAGCAAAGGGTACTGTAATCAAGCAGAATTACAGTTTTTCTTTTGTAAATTCTAGTTCTAGTTATTTTATTTTTATTTAATATGACAGATTTGTAGCAAAATCAATTAAGACAGTTTCCTTACATTGATATAATGATCATAACAGCTCTCTAAACAGAACCAGTTATGAATATCAACTTATAAAGTCTTGTTCCTAGGAGTGCTTGGGACAAATGTGAGCTATTTGAAGACAAAGAAGGCTTCCCAACCTATTGTGGACACAGAAGAGGAGTCTGCTGATAAAGCTCAATTTCTTAAGAGCAGTGGAACCTCTATCTTAAGTGTTGACAGCCTAGAAGCAAATGGTGAGAAGGGAGTTGTGACTCGGGAAGTCACTGCTACTGCACTGCAGACTTTGTAGCAGTGGACTCAACTGTCCCCTAGCTTCCGTCACATATCATATTATATGATCTCCCCATAATCAGGATCACAACTTAGACACAAAGTTACATTACAGCCTTTCGTTGATCTGCTTGATGGGTGGGGGTTTCCTCTATAACGTCAGCAAAAGAATTGTTTAATTTTATCAAAGTTGTACATGTTAACAAAATGTGTTTATCATTCATTTCTGTGTAGAATTAGTCATTTCTGAGCTCCATCATAGTACCCTGGGGTTGGGGTTGGACACGTTAGAAGAACAAGAAGAGAAAGAGCAGTTCTTTGCCAGACTTGAAAAAGGCTTGACGTCTTCTATTGATTATTCCAAATTAAATCAAGAACTAGATTCTGATGACTCTGCACAATTCAGAGCTTTACAGAGGTAAATATAATAAAAACATTAGCTAATTTTTGTGCTTTTCTATACTTCTGTATGTGCATGAATTCTAATAGGTAAATATATAACAGACAAATCTCATTCTTTGTGTGTGTGTGTGTGTGTGTGTGTGTGTGTGTATGTATGTATGTATGTATGTGAAGGCCAGGGTTTGGTGCCAAACATCTTACTTAATTAATCATGTGGCTGTTTTTCTTCTCATAAATGAAAATCGAATCATGGTCTTATCTAGGATCTTAAAAACACAAAAATGAAATTGAAAGAGTTTGGAGAATCATGGCCTATGGCTCATTAGAACTGAGTCTCAGCAGATGGAGTAGACTGGTGTGGGCTGTGGGGTTCTGAGAGGGCAGCGCACTTAACCAGCTGCATCCAGCATTGTAGAGGTGACAGTTAACAAGAGTCTTCAGTCAGAAGCAGTGGACTGTATTTCTCACAGCCGTACCAGGTACTGGTTTAAGGCCCTGTCCTAGTCACTTTTCTATTGCTATGATGAAACATTGAGACTGAGGCCACTTATAGAAGGAAAAGTTTACATGTGCTAAATATTTCAGAGGCTAGAGTCCATGATGGTGGAGCAAAGGCGTGGCACCCGGCAGCAGGAACCCCTAAAAGCTCCCATCTAGATCCATAAGCCCCAGGCAGGGAGAGAAGTTGGAAGGCATTGCTGGCTGATCAGAGGTTGCAGTCTACCATAGCCTGGCAGCTTTCTCTAAGCTCGGCAACTGGAAGACCCCCTCTGCCCAGCAAAGCTCCTTGCAGTCTACTTAACCTTATCTGGAGAATGTCTCTGGGCCTGGAGGACTGACCTTATCTCAAAAGTGATCATTGACACAGTTCCCTGCAAACACTCTTCCCTTGATGACCCACAGGGCAGGTAGGCAAGTGTTCCAGCCATTTTGATAGGACCCTACTGCCACATGCTAAGCCTTGTGATAGGAGCATGCCACTTAGTGAAGATCATGAAATTTATATTCTACAATAAAGTCGAACTGTCTACTGAAGTCTGTCTCCCAGAGGGCTATCTCCGCTCATGCTCACGGGCCATATACAAAGCTTTCTGTCCCTTTGCCCTCTGGAACTGATGAGTGGGAAGGAAAAGAAGACCCCCATAAAGAGCTAGCTGAGAATCCTTTTGAAACCTTAAAGACCACCCTGCTAACATACCTTTTCTAATCCTTCCCAAACAGTTCTACGAACTGAGGAACAAGTATTCAAATATATGAACTTATGGGGTCATTATCATCCAAATCACTGCAGGCCCCTATCAACTTCCACTAAGAGTTACATTGCTTATTAGCATATAAATGCTAACTTCATTTTGTGGAGTTTGTTGTTGTTTTGACCTTCCTATAATTTTCCTCATAGCTCATAATTCCTAATCTCTAATGAAGAGATACCTGGTTCATGGGATGAGGTGTGTTCATATTAGTGTACACACATAAAATTGTATTTATATATAAAAAGAAATGGCATTTTCTTTTGATTATTTGCAGCTCAACTTAGTTTTAGGCTTTAAGAATCTTGTTTTCAAAACGTTTTCCTTCTGTCACCCTAATTTTTTGCTTTGGTAGAACAATGTTGCTTGAAAAGACATAATTTTAGAAAATTTGAAACAAATAATACAACATATATTGTATGGATACATATTTACCTGTGATATTGCATGTTAAATGTTTTTCCAGTTATCAAGCTAACGTGGAACCAGATGAAGATGGGCATAAGAATGAATCAGAACATGAGGGACTGCCAGGTAACTTCACTGAAGAAATAATACAATGTATAGTACAGACGCTGATAAGAATAGTATCGAAAAGGTAAACCGCATTGTCTTAGAAAGTGCTGTGAGCAGAGTGTACAGTGCCTGTGTTATTATCTCAATAATTAAGAAATTATTAAGAAGGACCCACTGCCTCATATGGTGAAGCTGGTGGTGAAGTTCTGTGTGAAGATAGTGAGGATCCAAAGGCAGAAGAAAGACCTCCACTGGGGTGCCACAAGTGCTCCTTCTCTCCTCCTTTACCCTTTTTTTCTTATAAAGATAAAGTCTTGCTTTACTTTGTTCATTGACCTTGATGTTACTCTGTAAAGCAGGCTAGACTTAAACTCACTATGCAGAGCTGGCTGTCCTTGATCTAAAAGATCCTTCTGCCTTTGCCTCCGAAGTGCTAGTATTAAAGGTGTGTATGTCTGTGTTTACATTTAAAATGGTTTGCTCTGCAGGGCTAGACTTTGCTTTTCTGAATAACATGGCCACCTCTGGTGTGCAATTGATAAGTATCTAGCATAAATTCTAATTGTTCTTAATAAAAACCCAGACTCAGATGTTAGGGGGTGAAAACTGAAGGATCAGAGAAGCAGAACAGCCAGCACTAGAGAGACCTTTTACTTCTACCACTTCTCAGACAGAAGGGGCGATCCTGTCTCAGACTGCATCCTCAGACCACATTCTCTGGCTGCTGCCTCAGACTGCACTGAGCTCTTGTCTCCTCCCACCTTGTGTGCTTCTCTGTCCAGCCACATCCCTCCTGCCTGCACCTTCCTAGTGCTGGGATTAAAGTGAAATCCCAAATACTGTGATCACCTTTAAGTGAGCTCTGGTTTTCTTTTAGACAGATTCAATCTGCTGTCGCCCAGGGTGGCATTGAACTAACAGAGATCCCTTTGCCTCTGTCTCCCCAGTCCTGGGATTAAAGGTGTGTGCCACTACTCCCTGGCCTCTAGTGTCTTAGCTCTGCACTCTGATATTCAGGCAAGCTTTATTCATTAAAACACTACACACCTACCCTTTACAAATGGTGTTTACTGATATGATTGTGAACTGTTTTCATTCTTAGTTATTTGAAATACTATTGCTGTATAGCTCATACTTGCCATGCGCGCACACCAATCATTGTGCCTCAGCTTCTTGAGTCCTGGGATTACACATCTAATTTGTTTTCTGTTTATCTTTTATTATTTTGGTTTGCATTCTCCTAGTTTACTTGTAAAACTCGATTCTGTTCCCTCTTTTGGCTTTTTAGTTAAACCTTTTTGTTGTATTTTTGTCTGAATTGATACAAATCATACATATTTCTTACCTTATTAAAGGGTATTCAAGTGACATTCTACTTTATATGAATTATTATTTGTATACAATTTATATGAATATGTGAGCATCAAAACCTGACTCCTCAGTGTCTATTTTTAGGTATTTTTTGTTCTACTTGTCTTAAAATACCAGAATATGTTGTACTGTTGTTGAAATCTTTTAAGGAATGTGAAGTGTATCCTTGTAAAGACTTGTGCTGTTCCTCTGCTTCCTGACAGGTCTGTATTCTGCTCCTGTGTATGGATTTCAGTTTCTACACATGAAAGAACCCTCTTTAAACCATCAAGTTTAATGTTGCTAAGAACAAAGTCTCCTAGCTTTCCTCGTTTGAAAATATGCTTTATCTTTATTATTAAAGAATATTTTATACTAGGTATGGTGACTGACATCAAGGCCTGGGAACCTAAGTCAGGAGGATTGAGAATTTTTATTATTATTGATTTTTATTGAGCTCATTTTTCTCTGCTCCCCTCCCTGCCTCTCTCCTCTTCCTTCAACCCTCCCCCAAGGTCTCCATGCTCCCAGTTTACTCAGGAGATCTTGTCTTTTTCTACTTCCCATGTAGATTAGATCTATGTATGTTTCTCTTAGGGTCCTCATTGTTGTCAAGGTTCTTTGGGATTGTGGTTTATAGGCTGGTTTTCTTTGCTTTATGTTTAAAAACCTGAGTGAGTACATGTGATAATTGTCTTTCTGTGTCTGGGTCACCTCACTCAAAATAATGTTTTCTAGCTCCACCCATTTTCCTGCAAAATTCAAGATGTTGTTATTTTTTTCTGCTGTGAAGTACTCCATTGTGTAAATGTACCACATTTTCCTCATCCATTCTTCAGTCGAGGGGCATTTAGGTTATTTCCAGGTTCTTTGACAAACAAAGCTGCTATAAATGTAGTTGAGCACATATCCTTGTGGCACGATTGAGCATCCTTTGGATTTATACCCAAAAGTGGTATTACTGGGTCTTGAGGAAGGTTGTTTCCTAATTTCCTGAGAAATCACCACACTGACATCCAAAGGGGCTGTACCAGCTTACATTCCTACCAGCAATGCAGAAGTGTTCCCTTTTCCCCACAACCTCTCCAGCATAAGTTGTCATCAGTGTTTTTGATCTTGGCCATTCTTACAGGTGTAAGATGGAATCTCAGAGTTGTTTTGATTTGCATTTCTCTGATGGCTAACGATGCTGAGCATTTCCTTAAGTGTCTTTCAGCCATTTTAGATTCCTCTGTTGAGAGTTCTCTGTTTAGGTTTGTGTCCCATTTTTTAATTGGGTTATTTGTTTGTTGATGACCAGTTTCTTGAGATCTTTGTATATTTTGGAGATCGCTCTCTGTCTGATGTGGGACTGGTGAAGACATTTTCCCATTCTGTAGGCTGTTGTTTTGTCTTGTTGACCTTGTCCTTTGCTTTACAGAAGCTTCTCAGTTTCAGTAGAAGCTTATTTATTGTTTCTCTCAGAGTCTGTGCTACTGGGGTTATATATGCCAATGTATTCAAGTATACTTTCCACACTCTCTTCTGTGAGGTTCAGTGTGGTTGGCTTTGATCCACTTGGATTTGAGTTTTATGCATGGTGATAGATATGGATCTATTTTCATTCTTCTACATGTTATATCCAGTTATGCCAGCACCACTTGTTGAATATGCTTGCTTTTTTCCATTTACTATTCTTTGCTTTCTTTTGTTGGATGTTGTAGATTTTATGATATCTGGATTTTATTTTCTTCTTTAAAAAGGTATTCAGCCTGTTCTGGTAGACTTGGTCCATTGAGGCACTTCTTGTCTCACTTAGGGGTGTCTAGAGCAGCCACTCTGGGCATCGTTTTTCTGCTGACCTGTGGCATGCCCTCTAATAATCCACAGTACTCAGTGAGGGCCTTCTGCTCATAGGTTGGGGTTGAAAAGTCTCCCTGCCGTGTGTCTCCTGAAGGAACTGTCCAAGCTGTAGTTTCCCAGTTCCTGACACAGCCTTTATATTAAGGGTTTAGTATTTTGTCTCAACTCAGAAGGACCCTCATCCTCAGGAACCCATGCAGATTCCCCTGGAACTCCTGCTGATTGTGCCCACCTCCTTACTGCCCCACAGCTGCTGCATGGCTTGGCCTCTCAGAACTCTTCATTTTCTCAGTTCGTTGAAATTGCCTCACCTTCCCTCATACTCCAAAAATGTATTCACCTTCAGTGATTATGGAGCTCATGTCTCATTTGCTTGTCTTTCTTCGGAATTACATTTTCCCTGCCAATTATCTGATGTCTAAAAACAATTACTTCTTATATTTTGTGCCAGAGTCCAGCTCCAGCAGGTCATAGAAACTGGAGAGAAAATGTGGGGTCAGTAGCTATTACAAACACACAGGAGACTTATCTGAGGAGGCAAAACTTAATTCTTTTCTCATTTATTTTTCTATTAATCCTTTTATACCAAGACAAAAATCTCTATACAAGAAGGAAATCACCTCACAAACACAAGTTACATATTTTCCAAAAACAAAATCTTTACATAGGAAGAAATCACATTATGCTCACAAGTTACATGTTTTTCTTAGAAGCCCATGTAATTAAACGTTTTTCTTTGTATTAGTTTTTCCACTGTAACAGCTTCACTCCAAAACAATGATTTTTTTTATTATTGTTGATTAACAAAACTTTATTCAAGCCAAGCGTATTTCCGCCAGTTCTTTCCTCCCTTGGTTTACAGTTTCAGGGTAGCAGATTCCTGTCCTAGTTCTACTCTCTAGAACCCCAGTAAGCAGATGGTCTAGCTAACCATCTACTTTTCTTTACAAACGATAGGCTCATTTAATTTCTTTTCACAAGTTTGGTTTTACAAGGTACACACTGAAGCCTGTGATTAATTCTGTAAGCTACATGACCAAAGAACTCAGACCTAACCTTGGGTACAGGGACATAATTGCCTTTTTTGGTCTCAGCCTGTTTTTTTCCACAGGCAGAATTCACAGGTCTCTAATGCTTGAAACTTGTTATTTTCCATCCTCAGCAAATCTCACATCTCTAAGTGCTGTTGCTCTATAAAAATCATCTTCATTATGATTTGCATGTAAATTGCCCAGTGAAGAGTGGGAATTTTTCCATAAAACAATCATACTGTACTAGATACAGTGGGACTCTTTCACATAATAGTCCCACCATGCCAAATGCAGTAAGAATGCGGTAGCAGCAAGCAGAAGATGTCACAGCAGAAGCAGGGGACATTCGGAGACAAACCCCTTGGCCTTTGCCTCTCAGGGGTGTGCTCATCGTAGCTGAGTAGCCGTGCTAACCAATGACATGTACGCCGTAAATTCCGTTGCTGACTGCAGCTCCTCTGACAGCCCACTGCCAGTGTTGTCTAATTGTTCACAGTGGAATTTAAATCCAGTTTCTTCAGTCCTAGCATGACAGGGGGTTTTTCAGATTTCATTATACTCAGAGTTTACAGGTAAATTTGCCAATAAAGGATGGAAATATCTCCAAAAAGGAGCATTTAGACTTTAATTGCCTATGGTTTAGTTTCTGAATTTTAAGAACATGTTCTTGTTTTGAAAGTCATAATTTTGAAGTTAAGCATAGAGAATATTTTGAATGTGTAATCCACTACAGACAGCATTCTCAGTGTCGCTGTGGCTGGAAGACGGGGCACCAACCCAGATGGGTCTCAAAATGACCACCTATTTGGTTTGCTCCCTCATTTGTGTGTCAGCTTAATTCACGTTGATGATTCTGAAAGCTCTGACATGTTTTCCTTCCCTTTACTTTTCCTTTCACTTCTGTGTCACTTGCTAGTGACTTATTTCCCACAACTCTGTTCATGACAGATTCCTAGGAAGGAGGCTTGCCATTCATATGTTATATGGGAATATTTTCCTATAATTTGTTCAGTTACTAAATGACATTAAAATATAGTTTGGAATAATGTGCATTAGCAATTTTCCCATTTAGAAGGCAGGGCTGACTACTTGATTGGCATGTTCAAGTTCATTTCCCACTGCAAAGAGAAAAAAGATAAAACATGATATGTCTTCATTAACTTTTAATGTAGATTAGCAAAACTAGGTCTAATATTGCCAATCAGTACTATTACACATCATATTTGTGCATGTTATATATGAAATACTCCTTATATACTGCTTAGCTCTCAGATCTCAGTGTTCCTTGAGATAAGTGCTGTTGTCATCTCTACAGGTGAGAAAAGTAAGGCCAGGGGTTTTGTGATGGTCTGTCATTCTGAAGCTGGAAGTAGTGGAGTGAAGAATTGAGTCTAGCCTTCTGGTTCCAGGTCACATTCTTAAGCCCTACTTTCACATACATCTCCATACTATCTCCACACTGTAACTCTTTGCATTCTGAAAAAGGGTTTCTTTCCTTTACTCCACTGATCTCAGTCAGCCTCTTGATTTAAAAATAATAAACAACTTAAAAATTGATGAAAGAGATGTTGACCGTATAACTCCTGCCCCCACCTGCCCCATGAGTAGACTGATGAGATCAGTTAACTTGGAGATGCCTTGTTCTCCCACTGCAAAGGCACTAAGACATAGTCTAAGAGCTTTACGCCAAGAATTATTCAGGACTGAAGAACAGCAAAAGCCATATAGGGCCAGTATTTATGTAAGGATATGTCAAAGTACAGAAAATAAAGTAAACCTAAGATTGCGTTCATTTTAGTTTGAACTTATTTGTTAGAAAGAAAGAAAAAAACAGAAAGGAGGAAGAGAGAAAAGGAGAGAGAGAGGATGGAAGGAGGGAAGGAAGAGAAAGAAGGAAGGAAGAAAAGGAGAGATTACTCGAGTGCTATTACCCCAGTGGATTATATTTGGAGATATTTTCTTTGTAAGCCAATAGTACTTTCTTGAAATTTAACTTTGACAGTATGATCTTTCTAACAATAATCTCCTCCAGAAACATACAGTGATGATTTTGAAGATGCAGAGGATGTTGATGTACCTTTGATTACTAAAGATGAAGAGACCCATCCCAAAGAGACCCCTGAGTCAAGAAAAGCAGATGTTCCCACACAGGTATATAGCAGTTGTCTTTTAACAGTTTTGTGACTGCTTTTATCAGCTTGGCAAACTCGCCGTGTGAAGACTTGAGGTGCAGAGTTCCTCGTGGCCTTGCTCATTGCTCACCTAAAGTCTCAGGGTATCAGTATACATTAAACAATCAAAATAGTGGATGCTTGTTTATAGGATGACCTTTGCTGCATAATTTCTTTAAGGTAAGCTTTAGCAATTGAACATAATTAAATATTGATACTATTTTTCAGTTGGTCTATGGACAGACATCAGTGTAAGAACTGATCTTGTGGAAGCTGGAAATAGCTCTTCTCAGGATTGGTAAAATTGGCAGTGTCTGGAGCTCCTGTAATTAAGATAAAAAATCACACTGCTCCGTTGTTCACATACAGGCTGCTGCTCTAGTTCTGTCATTCTCTCAGTTCTTACCAAGGTGTGTTTAAGGCTGCCGTTAAATACTACCTATGTACTATAATTTGTCATTAAAGCTATATATTAGTAGTTAATGGGATCTTTACTATTTATTATTTTGGTCTTCATCTGGGCGGTTTTTTGGGGCTCTGTTTAGGACAAGATGGTTTTAAGCTTATATAAAGCCATAGATTATCTAAATAGAAACACATTGAGGTTATACATAAATGCTTTGGTTTTTTAATTTATATAATACATTTCCTCAAGTGTATATACATATATCGGTTTTCAAGAAGCAAGATGATTTTTAAATTAACAGAAAAATTAATGTGACCTCATGACATCTTTGGAAATTCATGGTATTTATGTTTGAAATTTGGCACTCCCAATATTTTATGAAAATTAATAAAGAGCAGGATATTACCATTTATCAAGAAGGTATAATCTGCTTAATAATATGGAAACCTCCCAGAGAGCTGAGTAAAAATGAAAATGATAAAAAGCTAAAGTGTTAACTCTAGAAGACCCTACACTGCCTGCCCAAGAAGGGAAACAAACGCTATGCTACATAAAAACCTTAGTACTGAAGAACTGCATCTCTCCTGCCATTTGATAGCATGCCTGTCTGAAGGTATGTCCTTCAGACTGTAGAGGAAGTGGGGAATTGAATGTATATTTGGTAATTAATTTTTGAACAATTGATTGATGTTATACTTGTAGGCTCCTGTGTGACATAGCCCTGTTACTTTGATATTTAAAAAAAGACATTATTTTTGAGACATGATTTTTGAGCAGATGACTTCTAGGCACTTTAGGCAAATCTTCTTAAGACCTAAAACAGGTTTAGCAATTGCCCAGGTTTAGAAGGAGCAGGTAGAAGTTCCTGTACAGCTTTGGCTCAGACAAGTATTGATGAAGACATCTAGAAAATGTTGTTTCTGGTCCTCTCATAGCTTCTGCTTTTCAGAACTGTGGTCATTTCATATAATCTTGCTTTCAAAACATGTAATTTTCTTTTAATTTAGGAAGAAGAGAAAACTGGCATGCTGGCTAATGGTAAATATTAATTGACAAGTAAACCGTTCAGAAATATCATCTAAATAATTTTGAATAAAATGTTTTTATTTTGAATATCTTTCTCAAAAAGAATTAAAATTCTTAACCTTTCTTAGTCATTTGTCCTTTATTCCTTTCTTGACTCTATTATGTTTGAAATATTTCCTTTTCTGTTTTTCTCAAGCCTTTCACCTTTCAAATAAATGTCTAGATATGTGGAATCACTTATGTTTGTTTTGATGTTAGCCTATTATCTTGTATATACCATTAAAATCATGTGTGTGGAAACACATGTGATTATGGACTAACAACATTTATATGTAAATATTTGTTTTTAAGCATTGCTTGTGCCTTATTTTATTGAACCAAGAAGCACACAGAGTTTCCTACACTCCTTGTGTTTTGTTTATGTTCCTGCAGTTGTGCTGCTTGATTCTTTAGACTCTGTTGAGGATGTTGACCTTGCTGATCAAAATAAAGCAACCTCTAAAGCAAAGGCCATCCCAGAAATGACTGATGGTGAACTAGTGGGAACAGGTAACACATGTGAAAACTTGACTCTTCCCTAACTTTTGAATGCTCTGTGAGTAACTGGCTTCTTTTCTAGAAAACTTCATGAAATAACCATCTGGACATTGAAGACATTCAATCTCATAGATTGACTATGCTGTCAATACAAGGGGAGGCTGTAGGTGAGGGGTAATTAGTTGTTATACCATCCATGGTTTTCTGTTGAATTCACCAGGTGTAGGAGAAATGGACATGGGTCCTGGCTGTACTTCACATTGTTCCCTCCTTAGGAAATGGCTATGTTACACCCTCAGATTCTGAACTATTTTCCCTAAAGCTCATAACAGTTTTGTGATACTGCCCTTTCAAACTGTAAAGCAGCAGAACCATCATTGTCATTTGGATCTTCCATGAAATTAAGGTTGTGCCAGGCAGAATATTTTGTTTTGCTATAGAATATAATATCTTCTTGATTTCCCACATTAGTAGTTGCAAATGGGAACTTTTTAACCGTCTTGCTTTGGGGGTTCAGAGGACTTATATTAGTCAAGTAAACTGAGACCCTTGGATAAATAACAGTAGAAATCACAAACCAACTCTAAACATCTTGTGTGTTACTTATGCTAATTTTATACTAATTATTTTCTTTTTTTGAGACAGGGTTTCTCTGTAGCTTTGGAGCCTGTCCTGGAATTAACTCATGTAGACCACGCTGGTCTCAAACTCACTCAGATCCTCTTGCTTCTGCCTCCCGAATAATGCTGGGATTAAAGGCGTGTGCCACCACCACCTGCCTTACTATTTATTTTCTTGTTCAACTTTCAGGAGTCAGCTCTCTTCTGCCATAGTTTCTGAGGGTCAAACTCATATATTAAAGCTTGTGTAGCATTGCCTTCACTTGCTGAGCCATCTCATTGGTCCCTGGCTTGATGAATTTTTAAATACTGAACACTCCCATGTAATCAGCATCTAGATCAAAAATCAAGAAGACTCAAACTACATTATCTTGTCATAACTCTTATTTTTGGTCAACATCTTCCAAGCATCGTTACTTCCAAGGGTCTAGTTTTCCTCTCCAAATAGAGAATAAAAAATTTCTGGGTGTGGTGGTGCATGCTTGTAATCCCAGCATTCAGTAAGCTGAAACAGAAGGATGGCAAATTTAAGATCAACCTGGGCTATATAATAAAATCCAGTCTTGTAGCTGGCAAGGTGGTTCAGCCAGTAAAGGTAGTTGCTACCAAACATGGCTACCTGAGTTCAGTCCTCAGAACCCACATGATTGAGAATGACTCCAACAGGTTGCCCTCTGACCTCACATGTACCATGGCAAGTACGCACAAATAAGAAAGGAAGGGAAGGAAAGAAGGAAGGTAACTTTTTAATTTGAAAAAGATCAGGTCTCAAACAGAAAAAAAAAAAAACCTTGAAAGACGGACATTTCATCAAGACATAGTTTTGATACACAAACCGGGTATCTACCAGGATGACATGTTTGCAGAGCATGTCTCATGATCTTACTGCTATTACCTGTGCAACCTTTTTCTCCTCCATGCTAGCTCAGTCTGTCTCCTCGCAGTGTTTGGTAAGCAGTAATGAGCTCTTTAAAGGTGAAGGTAGAACTGCAGCTTTTCTGGTCTGGGTATACTCTTGGTTTGTGGGGGGAACGATCAGAGTAGTATTGAAATGTGCATGTTACAAAGAAGGCAAGAATTAGTACATGATTTCTACAGAGTACTACAGAATTATGGAAGTTGCACTGTTGATTGTGCAAATTGGCTTTTATTACCTCCATGACACTCATCTCCGGCTACACTTTTAAGTGTTTACATAATTATTCTCTTAACAATAAAACCTCGGGAGTCAGGTATCAGGGTAAAAACCTGATTGATCAGAGAAGCTGTGGAGAGGCAACCAGTGACCTGCTCTCTCTCTCCTTCCTCAATCCAATAGCCAGAGAGTCTTTCTAAACACCTCCCTACTGCTTCCTGTGTTTCTCTTTAAGTCCTGGGTCCTCCAAACCATCTTTTGCTAATTTTGGTCAGCTAGGAGCTAGCTCCACCCTTTGATTCAAGGTAAGCTTTATTGGCAATCTCAGGAATGTCAGAATGCAACTAAAATATCCCACAACAACATTTAGTATGAGAGGAAAATCCCTTACAGGCTGTGTTCTATACATTTTCTGTTGTGTGTAGAACATAAGGTTATATGTATTGTTTTATTTTAAAACATTAATCATAGATAGCAAAAGAGGAGATCCTTCAGAGGAATGTGTCCATCTAGGAGGTATGGGAACAGTTTTACCTGGCACAGAGAGGCTGGTTCAGGACAGTGAGACAGCAGGGACTGGTAACGTCAGAGTTGACAGCTGCCACATCAAGACTGTCTTTACTTGCTATGAGTTCATACTCATAGCCTACCCAGGTTTCTGCTCGACTCTTCTTTTCTAATATTGCCATTGACCTGCACCCTTGTTCACCATTCCTAAGAGACTAAGAAATGACGTCAGTGTTTCATCTGTCTCCTGTGACACCTGGGAATTGCGTTTATTTCCACAGGTGTGTCTTATGGACAGAGCAGTGGTGACACTGAAGCCCTGCATCAGGCTTACCGTCATATAGCTCATTCTCTGGGAGACACGGGAGAACCAATAATCAAGGCTAGCACTGTGGAAAATGTCAAGAGCTCAGTAAAAGATTATCTTCAAGAAAATGAAGAGTCTTCAAAGAACATCTCTACCACAGAATCTGGTAAAGGTGACAGCTTTGGTAGAAGGATGATGGATGGACGGATGGATGGATGATGGATGGACAAATTATCTTTACTATTTACCCTCTTTAGACAGTGTCCGTTGGAGTATATTCTGCATACAGTTTTCTGTGGTGATGACCTCTTAGTGTTTGAATGTAAAGGGTGTTATGGTAAGATGCCACAGCTCCCTGAGTGGTGGCAGAGGTCCCAGGCAGGGAGCCATGCAGCGAGTGAGAAGTGTGCCATGCAGAGAAAGTGGGCATTTATTTAGTGGATTATGGAGGGGAAAGGGAAAGAGGGAAGGGGAGAAGTGGAGAGAAGGGAAAGATGCAGAAGCTGCCTCTTTGGGAGAGAAACAGAAAGGAAGGAACTTAGAACTCAGGCTGGAAACTGAAGGAAGATCTGTTTGCCTCAGCGGACTGGAGAGGGAGTGGGCGGGGCCTGTCTCTTAAAGGGACGGGACAGACCATTACAAAGGACATGATCAAAGGAAACCCCACCTGGATTAACTCCAAAGTTAGAGCTAAACACAGAATACAGCTCACCTTCTAATGAGCCTTAGCCAAATTAAGCAACAAGCTTGATGTATATATGTATGTGCATTAATGCTTTTTAATAGAAATAGTTTTTTAAGATTAAAAAAATTATATAGCAAGTATGTATATGAGATCTAGGTGTAGATAATGGAGATATATTTTATAAGGTCCAAGAGAGGGTTCCTGGTGCAATTTTGTGATATAAATTTCATTTATTGTACATGCCATTTTGTTAAATATATGAAATAGAGGGAAAAATGATTTTTTTGTTACTTAATGTATAATTTAAGCAACTTAGGCAATTTAACTTTTCTTCTTTTTAGATCTGCCCACAGTAGAGGAGCTGATGAGACCCATCAGGATAGACTCCTTTGGGGTCAGTGGCTTTGACTTGCTCAGGTATGTGGTTTCAGCAATGCCCTGTGCAGGACGGTTGCTTAGCTGAGTGGTGTTTACTGTTTTCACTTCTTGTTTTGTCACAGGGAACTTACAACCTTCTGTTCTGTGGAACCATTCCTCGTAAATGATTAATCAAAATGCAGGCTTGTTTGTGTCTACCTGTGAGCCCCGGATCTCTTTTTGTTTTTATCCTCCATCCATCAAAATTTTCCCAGTACTAAAAGAAAAGGAAAGTTGGTGTCATTAACTAGTCCTAATGTTTTCACTGAAAATGTGATTCCTCCTCTCTCAGTGGCACAGGGGTAGCCAATTCATCATCAGGGGAAGATTTATTCTATTTTTATATGAACCATAGGTTCTGACTTAGTCACTAGCTGACCATCATCTCACGGTTAGGTGGAGGATATGGTTTTTGATGCTTGTAGAATTTCAACTTCACACAATCAAAGGAGTATGGGGATAAATTTGGTAAAGTTTTTCAAATATATGAACAGATTTTGCCTCTGAAATGTACACTTAAAATGGTTAAAATGATAAATTTTATGTCAAATATACATACCACAAGAAAAAATAATAGAATAAACACAACAAGAAAAAAACTGAAGACTTATATGACCCAAGGAACAATAATTTCAGTAATGTCAATAATGCCATCATTACCTCTTTTAAAATCTCCAGTGAAGTGTAGGTAAGTAACTTAACTGCTGTAACGCATAGTTCTTGGAGTCCTGGTAGTAGACCATCACACAGTTATCTCTTACTAACGCATGGTTAGTGAGACTGGTTGGGATCTGCTCTGTGTGGGCATTCAGTGCCCAGTGCTCCAGTCCCCAGCTGTAGCTTTGACTGTAGTGTTATCCGGCCAGTAAAGAAGTGGCATGTCACATTAGCTTGCTTCTGTCTGTCAGAACCAAAACTTTTAGGAAACCAATTGGTGGAAGGTGGGAAATATGATTTGCTTGTGCACCTAGAAAGAAAAATGTACTAGTTTGGGAGTGTCTAGTTAGTACCTTCTTCATACCCAGATGGCCAGTGGCTGTCATTTTTCTTTATAGAGTCCTACTCAGAGCTCTTACCATCGGGAAGGCCCTGATATCCAAGTGAAGCACAGCCCTCTCCAGTTTGGGTGTGATTCTTTACCAGTAAATGAATTAAAAGACAGGCATTGTGTTTCCTTACCCCAGCCAACATCAAGTAATGGAACTGACTCCATTCAAAAATGGAAAGTCTGTGGGAAATAGAGCAGTCAGTGTTGCTGCTTCGAAAGGACTGGAAGGACCTTGTAAAAACCTTAAATAATGGGATTGCCCAGATTAGGCCGTTCCACTTTTCCAGAACCACATACGAATATTTCCCTGGATAGCCGCTGTTCCTGTTCCTTGGACAGTTTATCTCAGGTTATCGACATTGGCCAAGCTACAGTAGGTTTTGGAGAAGGATATGCCGTGCTGGGTTCCATGCGTTTTCTACTACCTGCAGGTAGTTCTCAGACTCCCGTTTTCTGGCTCTGCGATGGTTCTGCTTTGCTTTCCTTTGCTTTTGAACATGATTGTTAGCCTTCAGTGGCCTTCTGGTCTGTTTGGCTCCAGTCAGCTTCATGTGCCAGAAGCTAGATTCAAAGTTCTTTCCTAGGTTAAATTTTAAATCTACTTGAGATGCTTAGTTCTTGACTATCTGGGAACAGTAACCCTATGTGAAGAACACACAGGATCTATGGCCCTTGTGAGAAACATTCAGCATTCTTTCAGTTGAGAAGTCTAATGACATTCTCTTTCTCATACCATCTTTCCAGAGTGAGCCCTATTGCTGATGTCTATATGCAGAAAGTAAACCCAATAAGTCTTAAGTTTCTAAGTATTCCTTGTCAGTTCTCTAGAAGAGCCATTCTGTCCTGAGTTCATCCAGTTTCTTGTAATACCTTGCTGAAAGCAGCTAGTACTAGCCAGCACTTAGTGTCGTTGTGTCCTCTCCCTCCAGTTTTTAATCTTACTGCTCCAGGTCTGCCTCAAATGAAGTTGGAAGTGGCAGATTAGCAAATGCTTTGCACTAAAATGCCCCTCTCTAGCCTCTGCCATCAGTTTCCTGGCACCTGGAGCCCGTCCATGCTGGTGCTCACGTTCTGATGGCAGGAACTAGTAAACGTCAGAGAAATGCAGCTGAGTTGGTGCTCAGCTAGAACCGGAAACAGTTGGATTAGCACCTAGATAGTAAGGAGCTGGTACATTTCCCACGGGCTCCAAGTACTTTAGAAGTTTCCAGCATTTACTGAGTGGCTTGTCTACATAGTATAAAAATGGTAGCCTCTTAAACTGTTCCTCAATCACAAATCATGATAGTCATATTTTAGAGCCTTTGTGGTTTACTGGTGTTTAACCAAATATAAGAAATTCCTTGAAAATATAGTTCCCAAAATGTAAAAATAAATAAATAAATGATGTGGCCAGGCATGGTGTCACATGCTTTTAATCCCCAGCACTAGAGAGTTGGAGACAAGCAGATCTCTGTTAGTTCAAGGCCAGCCTGGTCTACAAAGTGAGTTTCAGGACAACCAGGACTGTTACACAGAGAGACTCTGTCTCGAAAAACAAACAAAAAGGTGTGTATCAATGTTCCCCTGCATGTATTTCAGTGCACCATGTGCTCCCTGATACCCATGAAAAGCCAGAAGAGGGCACTGACTTCCGTGGAACTGGAGCCGCAGGCAGCTGTGAGTCACTCTGGGTGCTGGGAACTGAACCCAGGTCCTCTCCAAGAGCAGCAGTGTTCTTCACCACTGAGCCATCTCTCAACTTGTTTCTGACATTTTTAATACTTGTCTAATTTGTTTTAGTTCATTAAATGATAAATGGTTTAATTTTAAAATCCTGGTGATTTTTATGATTTTATTTTGAAATTTTCCTATGCTGTGGTTATTTCTATGCTTTTGGTATTTATACTCCTTGATTTCTTGTCATAAATTATAGTCACTTTAGAGTCTTACAGAATTATATAAAAAATTCCTCTACTTCGAATACATGTTAATATAAGCCAGGCAGTAGTGACACGTGTCTTTAATCCCAGCACTAAGACAGAGGCAGGTATTATCTCTGTGAGTTCGAGGCCAGCCTGGTCTGCACAGTGACCAGTGTAGCCAGGGCTGTTACACAGAGAAACCCTGTCTTGAAAAACAAAACAAAATACATGTTGACTTAGTAAGAAATTGTGGGTAAATATTATTGTGCTGCGTGAAAATTATCCGAAATTAGTAGGGCATAATGGCACATCCTTATAATCTCAGTAGCTATCAGAGGTGGAGGCAGGAGGAGGCAGGAGGACTGAGAGTTCAGGATCATCTACTAATCCCAGCACTAAGGCAGAAGCAGGTATTATCTCTGGGAGTTAGAGGCCAGCCTGGGCTCCATGAGACCCTGCCTCAAAAGAACAGAAAAGTATAAACAGTTACATGATAACCTGTGAGTATCCTAGGCTAACTGATGTTGTGTTGTGTTGTATGACATGTTTAACAGTGTAACTTTATTTGAATAGTTATAGCTCATGTCTGTACAATGTGGGTGGATAACTGAGTAACTTGAGGACTTAGGTTACATGCAGTTTTTACTGTGTTCTACTTTGTTCTGTAGCCTTAAGAAGGCAGCTGACAGTAAAGAAGGGGAATCTATGAGCTCTTTACCTCTTAAGATGAATGGAAACACTGTGTCTCAAGACCCCACTCACATGAGCCAATTTCCCCACCAACACGAGGAGAATGTGGCTTTACCCAAGACCGCGGGTGAGAGCGTGGATGGAGGCTGTCCAGCGTCAACTGCTATGGAAGATCGTTTGGACAAAGTGTACCTCAAAATTTTGAAGAAAAAAACAACTATTACCCCTTCACTATTACCTCAGGGTGACAAAACCAACCAGGTAAGAAGTATATGCTTCAGCTGTGGGGTTGCTGATGTCAGCTGTGGGTGGGGCTTCTTACAGACCTCCGGAGCCAAGGTCAGAACCCAGGGAGCTTACTTAAACGTGTGTCCCTGCCACTGTTTTCCCTCCCGCCACTCTTCCCAGCCCCCGCACACACATACTTCCCCTCTCCCCCAGATGCACTTTTTCTCTGTTTTTCTTCTAAAAAGGAGCAGTCCTCCAGGGGTATAACAAACTCAGCATAACACATTACAATAAAACTAGATACAAACCTTCATATCAGGCTGGATAAGGCAATACAGTAGAAGGAAAAGGGTCCCGTGAGCAGACATAAGAGTCAGAGACACCCCCAGGTCTCACTCTTAGGAGTCCACAAGAATACCCAGCTCCACAACTGTACATATATGCAGAGGACCTAGCTTAGCCCCATAAAGGATCCATGACTGTCTCTTCCATCTCTGTGAGCCCCTATGAGTCCCGCTTAGTTGAATCTGTGGGCCATGTTCTCCTGGTTCCCCCTGCCCGCCGCGCCTTCTCCAGTGTTCTCCTGACTCAATCTAATATTTGCCTGTGGGTCTCTGCATCTGTTCCCATAGGTTGCCAGATGATACCTCTCTGATGACATTTACGCTAGGCACTGATCTATGAGCATACCAGGATGTCCATTTCCTCTTGCCTTTTCCTTCTATTTCCTTTCGGTAAACAGTCTCTGCATCATTGCGTAGCTCAGGGCTCATCCTCCTCAGTCTGCACCATAGGAGAGTTGGCATTTATAGAATTGTGATCAGCAACTGTGAAGAAATGCACATTTCATTGTTCCTTCTTTCTCTGTTTAGCTTGGTTCCAGTAATCTATTTTTACTGTCTAATTTAGTATTTGCTATGAAGCATCTCATTTTTGTAGATGTGCTATGTTACTATATTGTTTCTGTGATAAAATACTCTGAAAAAGCCACTTGGGGAAGAAAGGGTGTGTTGGCTGCTAGTTGAAGATACAGCCTGTCATAGTGGGAAAGTCAGGCAGCAGACATGAGAGGAGGCAAGAGCAATGAACCCCAGACACAGCACAGTTCCTTTCCCCTTCTATAAGGTCAAGACCCCAGTCAGGGGAGGAGAGCCTCTCATCACAGTCCAAATACCCTCTTGTCACAGGTTCCTAGGCCCGTCTCCAGGACCCCAGTCAGGGAAGGAGAGCCTTCTCATCACAGGTTCTAGGCCCATCTCCAGGACCCCAGTCAGGGGAGGGGGGCTTCTCATCACAGTCCAGATACCCTCTTGTCACATGTTCCTAGGCCCGTCTCCAGGACCCCAGTCAGGAAAGGGGAGCCTCTCATCACAGGTTCCTAGACCCATCTCCAGGACCCTAGTCGGGAGGAGAGCCTCTCGTAGCAGGATCCTAGGCCTGTCTCCCACCCAGATTCTGTCAGGGTGACAATCCACTAACCATCACAAGTCTTGATGTTTTTAATGAACCTTAAATCCAGAGAAAAGAAGGTACTATTTTGGTTGTCATTTCAAAATACCTTCCTCCTTGATGTCTTGATTATTCCAGCAGCTGCACACCTTACTCTCCAGCTAGCTTATTTTTGCTTTGAAGTACTTTGTGCTAATGCTGACTTTGAAGACAGGCTTCAGAACACTGAAACTCTAAAAAGTTAGAGAACGTTGCTATAGTCGTTTGCCCTTCACAAACCTCGTTATTTGCCAGACACAATCCTGCCATGTGTTAATGTTTTTTTAACAATAGTAGTTGAAGTTCATTCTGATACTAAAGAGTTTGTTCTTATTGTGTGCAGACTTCAAAGACTCGGCTCAGTGCTGGGGAAGAGGGACCTGTAACTGGCAAACAGGTTCCATACAAGAAGGCCAGAAGTGCACCTCCTTTGCTTAAGAGAAAGCCACAGAGTGGACTGTATGTATCAACTCGGAGCTCAGGCTACAGCAAAGCCAGTTCACCACTCCAGTTATTTTCTGCTTTTGAAAAGAAATCTTCAAAGGACAATATAAAAAGTAAAAATGTGAGATCCATTCCCACCTCAAATCAATTCAGGAAAAAAGGTAAGAATACATTCCTTTCGAGGTAGAGTTTGACATGTATATAGCATATTATTTCATTTTCTTTGTTTTTGGAAAGGAGCTATTAAAGAGCTATGTATTCCTTTTAGAATAAGCGTGTAGTGTGTACCTAGGACAGTGGCAATGAAGATAATGAAAGGTGGTTGATGAAAATATGTTTAAAAGTAGAACCGATAATATAAAATCTTGTTTGGGTCGCTGTAGTTTTTGGTTCAGGCAACTGAAGGAATGGAGCAGCCACTCCCTGAGGTCAGGCAAATGGAGGTAAACTCTGGGCTGAGAGGAAGGGGAGATGACGGCTTTGAGATGACTGTTCTGACTTACAAACAGTGATTAAGCGAAGGCATTTAGATTGAAAGTCTGCCGTCCAAGAGGAAGTGTAAACTGAAGATACCATTTGAGAGCCTACTAAAGACCAGAAGAGGCATTTTTCTAAGTACTGACAGAGGAGGAGGATGTTCTTGTTACCTCTTTCTGTTGTTATGATACAAAACCATGACCAAAAGCTACTTGGGGAAGAAGAATTTCTTCTAACTTATAGGCTACAGTCCGCCATTGTGGTAAGCAGGGACTTGAAGCAGAACACACACAGGTACACAGCTTACTGACCTGGTTGTCCTGGATTTCTCAGCTGCCTTTCTTACACATCTGGGGTCTCCCTGCCTAGGGGTTGCACCTCCCACAGTGGACCCTTTTATTTCTTAGTAGTCAAGGAAATGCCCCACAGACATGCCATCCACAGACCAATCTGTTGGAGGCAACTCCTTAATGGAGGTTCCTTCTTTCCATATGACCCTTAAGGCTGTGTGTTTTGGCAGCTGAAGCTATGACAGAGTAGCTAGAGGGTAAACACCAACAGGCTCACTCTAGCCAACCAGACAGAACAAAAGGCAGGCAGAGGGAGGGAGGAGAACCCTGACAGAACCTTCAGTCTAGGGAAGATGTAGCTCAAGGCAGGTCTCTTCTGCCATTTGCTGCCCACAGGGAAAGAAGCTGAACTGAGAACTGCTCTTCAGTTTTAGCAAGTTGGTGGCCATCAGCGGTGGAAGTCAGTTTCCTGGCAGAGCTTACTGCAAGGCAGATTGAATGGGAGTAGGCAAGAATGTGGATAGAATTAGTGCTTCAAGTAATAGGACGTTCTGGAGGAAAGTTCCTGTGAACGGCAGAAGGTGGAGCAGAAGCTGACCTGGAAGGAGTTAAGAGACACTTTGGGGACCACCACAGTAGCACTGTGGGTAAAGACATTAACCACTCCAGCCTTAGCAACCTAAGTTAGTCCTGAAGGATAGAACCAACTCCTAAAAGTTGTTTTCTGACCTCTATACCTCCACACACTTATACACATACTGCACATGTATGCCCTTAAGAAAGACTGGATGGAAAGAGAAAGAGTGGACAGTGTAGTAGACAGAGGGAGTAATTGCCAGGGCAGTGTCCCTGACTTAGAACTATAATGGAGCACAGTAGGACTTCATTACCTAGGGATGTGGACAGTTCTGAGTTCTAGGAAATGTAGAGAGCACCAGCTGGCATCTGGATGGATGTGAGAGAGAGGAAGTATGAGTGTTACCTCTGTCTGCTTCCGTCTTCTCAGTATCAAACACATGCCATCACAGCACAGTGAAGAAGGAAAGAAGGGAAGATATGAAGTAAGCATCCAAATGATTACTAAGCTGGAGGTTAGAAGGTCATTGCATAATTGGTAGTGAACCTAGGTCATACCAGTGTGAGTGAGCAGCTAAGAGGCAAGGGACATTAAGGAACCAAAGCCAAAGAGTTGGCAGAGTCTAAGTATGTTGAAGTCATTGCAAATGAAGACACAAGTGTCACAGTGATTGAGAAACTATCAATGTAAATGATGGGTTGATAGATGAAGGCAATAATATTTTTATGAGTAGAGTTAACTAATATTCTAAACTTGTTTTCCATATTTCAAAATCTTACAGTATTTGTAACTATCAAAATCAAAACACATTACTCATTTTTGTACTAAAACATGCAGTGATGGACTACACCAGGCTTTTTCTTTTGAGCTACCAACCAGTTCCCAGATTATGACACAGAGAGTCATGAACGCTTGGCCTCAGTTTAGGCTCGTTTCTTGCTAGCTCTTATAACTTAACCTATTTTTCTTCATCTACATTTTGCCTTGGGACTTTTTACTTTGCTCTCTGTATGTCCTACCCTGTGTCTGCTGACTGCCAGCTGCCGTGCTGGCCCAGGGCATCTTCCTCTCCTGCTCCCCATTCTCTCCTCTTTCTTCTTATACCTCTCTGCTTGGCAGCCCCAGTTATCCCGCTCCTGCTTAACTATTGACCATTCAGCATTTTATCAGGCCAGTCAGGTGCCTTTGGCAGGCAAGGTGAAACAAATGCATCACCTCTTTACATCGTTAACAAGGACAGCAGAAACAAGTGTACCACACCTTCACATAGTTAAAATAATAGTCCACAGCACAGACAAACGTAACACATCTTTGCCTGGTTAGAATAAGATTCCACAACAGTGGACCTTATTCTTTCACTGAACTACTGTAGTATCTCGTTATACTGTTCAGTATGGTTTTTTTGTATCTGTCTCTTTATTGATAATCTGCCCAGAGTAGCTTTAATTTTACTCAGAGCTGTAATTCTTTTGGAATAATTGTTACAGGTTGGGTTCCTTGGGAAGCACAGTAGGGCGGTTCAGATCATCATTGGTTAGAATAAAAATTAAGCCCAATTGCTTAACCAAATGAAAGCCTTTTGTCTTTGATGTAAGTGTGAGCCTAGAAATAGGGAGCTGAGATATACAGCTGGGAAGGGAACCAGATAGATCCCATCTTTCCTGTTGCAGAATTCATACAATGTCACTTCTCTCTTTTTTGTAAGGCTTATTTTTGAGAGAGAGAGGGAGGGAGGAAGGGAGGGAGGGAGAAAGGAAGGGAGGGAGGAAGAGAATATGCCTATGTGGGGTTATATGCATGTTACACAATGATGTCTGTCTCCACGTTCAGCCCATGAGGTGGAATGACAGTAGAGCAGCCAAATCTATAGTGTTTTCATCAGAATCTCTTCCTGAAACCCTTCACCTGGGAACCTTTTGCTTCCATCTTTTGACTAAAACTTGTTGCCACCCCAGTTTGCATACAGTTTGGAGTGCAGTCATTGTGAGCTAAGCACACTGCTGCCCATAACAGAATTCGGTGTCTGTTAGTGGGGAGGAAGTGGAGGTTAGTGGCTAGCAGACTTGTCATGTGGGGGCTGCCTGTTTATTCTAGCTACCTTTTATTTAGCATTTCATGTTTATGCTTTCATTTGTAAAGTAATACTGTTTAAAAAAACTTGCTGATGAGTAAAAATTCAAAAATAGGGGAAAATAGGAAAAAGAAAAGCTAACAAGAAATACTGTGCCGGGCTAAGTGCTGATTCAGGCTTTTCTCTGTACGTGTCTTAAACAAGAGAAAAATGGGTGGGTGGACAGCAGAAGTAGATAAATGGACTGAGTATTTCTAAGAGTAACATCCGAAAATGCCAGCTGAAACCCTTTAGTTTACACACTGACCTAAAACATGATGTGATCACACTTTAAGTTCTTTTTATTTTTTTAACTTCTTAACTTATTTTATATGTTTAGCCCACATGTGTGCGTGTACACCATTTGCATGCCTGACACATGAGGGGGCCAGAAGAGGACACTGGACCTCCCAGAACTGCAGTTATAGACATTTGTGTGCCACCAGCTGGGTGCTAAGCATCAAACCTGGGCGCTGTGGAAGAGCAGCCAGCGCTTTTCACCACGGAGTCATCTCCTGGCCCCTACAAGTCCTTAAATATATTAGATGTAGGGTCCTTAAATCTCCAAGGAGATAAACTTCATCCTTAAAAATTACATGTTCTAAGACATCTCCTTAAGAAATAGATTCTGATAACTGCTGAGAGATTGCTAAAGCCACATTATTGTTTCCTGGCTTTATTTTCAATTTTATGTATTGCCAGTCACTCCCTTCCCTTCTGTGAAATATGAAGTAATATATTCTGCATCCCCATGCCAATCAACCAGGGGTTTTACTTTTTCAAGGTTTATTTCCTCTTGCAACCATATCTCTCTCAGTTTGGAGATTTAGTTTTTGCTTCTGGTTATTAAGTAAATTGAATGTCTGTTACCGATAATAACGTCAATGTGGAATTACTTTGGTTCATTTCTTTTTGATTGAATGTGATTAATGCATTTTTTCTTCAAAGAGGGCTTTAGAATTCTAATTCTGCAAGGTTTTTCTGTTTGAATTTTCATATTAAGAAATTTTTCTTTCTTTGGTAAGGGGGGAAATAGCAGATAGATGTCTTACAGAGGACTTGGTTCAGTTGCCAGCATGTAGCTCACAACTGTCTGTACCTCTAGTACTAGAAGATTCAGTGTCCACTTCTGGCCTCTTTGGGGCACCAGACACAAACATGGTGCACAGATATCTATCCCATAAATACTCATACCTATGGAAAAAAAGATTCAGGAATGAAAATTCTGTTGTAAAAAGACTGGCAGGCTGAATGTCTACACTCAGAACTACCTGTTTGTAGCCTAGTCCTAAGAGGGTCGTGTGCTGGCAGGACACTCCTAGCCCTTGGTCATGGTATAACCTGCCAGTGATTCGAAGGGATCACATGTTGCATCTGCAGTGAATTCAGTCTTTTTGGATGCTTTAAGATATTTATTATGAAACACACTAAGTATAATGACAACTGTAAGGAAAACCTTTATATGCCTGCAAAAAAGATAGAAATGAATCTTTCTGTGAGGAAGTATTGAATTATTTCTTCTTTTAGCCTTTCTGTATTTTCTAAATATCTGAAGATAGTTTTAATTTAAAAAATACATTTAAACAACTCTTGAGGAAATAATTGTAAAATAAATGAGGTTATTTATTTACCTTTAAAGCAGCTGGATGACGTTCATAGAGTGTTAGGCCTGACACATTTGAGTGTGGGCTTTAGGATCCACAGAAGCTCTCACCTATTTCCCCTTCCTAGGGCGACGCATTTGCGCCCCTCTTAGGGTCCTCCTTGCCACCTAGCTCCCCTGGAGCTGTGGATTGTAGCCTGGTTATCCTTTGCTTTACAGCTAATAACCACTTATGAGTGAGTACATACTGTTTGCCTTTCTGGGTCTGGATTATCTCACTCAGGATGATTTTTTTCTAGTTCCATCCATCTGCCTACAAATTTCATGATGTCATTGTTTTTTACTGCTGAGTAGTAATCCATTGTGTAAATGTACCACATTTTCTTTATCCATTCTTTGGTTGAGAGGCTTCTGGTTGTTTCCAGGTTCTGACTATTATGAATAATGCTGCTATGAACATAGTTGAGCAGATGTCCTTGTATGATTGAGCATCCTTTGGTATATACTTAAAAGTGGTATTGCTCCTGGGTAAACTGGGGGTGAGGGGAGAAGAGGGAATGGGAGATGGTTGAGTTGGGGGAGAGACAGAGAGGGGGAACAATAAAAGAGACATCTTGATAGAGGGAACTATTGTGGGGTTAGGGAGAAACTTGGTGCTAGGGAAACTCCCAGGAATTCACAATGACCCTGACTAAGACTCCTAGCAATAGTGGAGAGGGTGCCTGCACAGGCCTTCTCCTGTAATCAGATTGGTGATTGACCTAATTGTCATCATAGAACCTTCATCCAGTAACTGATGGTTTCGAAACACATGCAGAGATCCATAACCAGGCACTGGGCCGACCTCCTGGAGTCCAGTCGAAGAGAGGGAGGGGGGATTATGTGAGCAAGAGGGGGTAAATTAGATCATGATGGGGAAACCCACAGAGACAGCTGACCTTAGCTAGTGAGAGTTCATGAACTGACAACTGGTACATCTGCGTGTGACCAAACTAGGCCCTCTGAATGTGGGTGACAATTGTGCAGCTTGGTCTGTTTGTGGGATCTCTGGTAGTGGGACCAGGGTTCATCCCTGAAGCACGAACTGGCTTTTGTGGAGCCCATTCCCTATGGTGGGTACTTGCTCAGCCTTCATGCAGTGGTGATGGGCTTGGTCCTGCCTCAACTGGCCTAGGCTTAGTTAACTCCCCATGGGAGGCCTTACCCTCTCTGAGGAGAGGATGGGGGATTGGGGAATGTGGGGGGAGTGGGGAGAGATGAGGGAGGGGAACTTTAGTTGGTGTATAAAATGAATTTTTAAAATATCCCACAGAAGCATCTGCCTACATTGCTTGTTGCTAACCGAATAGTATATACTGGCTTCAGAATTTCATCTATCTTTGGAGTTTAGAAGTTACTGTAAAAGCAGAAAATTAGGCCAAATAAATATTAGTCACATTCTTTTCTAATTTGTTAGATGATGCCACTGGATTAGAACAATATTGTTAGTCTTTGAAATCAGACTTAGGTTAGCTGTTATGGTATCCTCTGCAATGTACATTGTTCCATTGATGCTGTGATATCCTATCACACACCGAGTATCAAGAGTGCTCAAGACACAGTGACTCTGAACTAAATGTCTTCATACTTACCAGCTGCTCTTTCTGATCCATATGTGGCCATCCTGACTGTGATCCTCTTACAACATAATTTGTTAAAAGTGGTAAAATCTTGAAGTTATCTTGATTCATTGTCTCCTCCCAATTATTTAGCTCCATCTGTGGATGTTGATTGTGGGTGACTGCTGGGGTGCAGTGACCACAGCGAAAGGACCGTGGTGTGGTGTGGTGCCTCAGCCTGTGTTGCAATCTACGTTTTACCTCCACATTGCCACTGTCCTCATTTATTTCCCATCATTGCTGAATGCACATTCAGCCTTGCTTTTATGATGCTTCCTTCTGTTGTCTATAATATTTAGAAATATTATCTGGAACAAAACTCATCAAGCCTGCAGTTTTGAATAAGCCATCCCCCCAAAGTGAAGGTAGCCTAGCTACACCTAAGAGGCCAGACGACTCCACAGCGGACTCCTCTGTCCAATTCCAGACTGTAAGTATTGAAGTTCATATTAATATTTATAATTTTCATATTTTAAAGTCATTTTAAAACTAGATTATAAATGTGTTAATTACATACTTAAGAAAATATCATAATTGAAGTTGATTAATGTGTACAAATATGAAATTTCTTTTCCTTATTCACATCATTCCCACTGCTTTCTCTGTACTAGACACTATTGCCGTGTCATTGCCAGTCTCTGTCTTTCTGTTTGGGTTCTGGTCTTAACCATGCAGCTATGTAGTGAAGTCATGCTTCTCTTTTAAAGAAGCCTTCAGGATCCTCTGGTGAGAACAGAGAGAAAGAATTACTTATGTTGAAAAGAGCTCAGGACGCGGAGGAAAAATGGAGGGGCGCACAAGCCCTAATTGAGCAAATTAAAATCACATTCTCAGAGAAGGAGAAGGAACTGGAGAACACCCTGGAAAACCTTAAGAGACAACAGGAAGGAGAGCTCTTCAAACTGAATCAGGAAAATTACATTCTTCAGGCCAAGGTACCAAATGTACTGTTCTGTTTTTCTTTCTTATTTATTAAAAAAAAATAAGTAAAATAAAATCAACTATGCTTCCTTTCAAATTCCTTGTTAGCCTGGTACCAGGAGCTGTTCGCCTTGATGCATTTGCCATATACAATACAGACTTGGTTCTTGGTTCTCTCCAGAGTGAATTGAAATCAAACGTGGCCCATTTTGATGATTTTCCTGTATTAGCTGTTCTTTTAGAAACAAGTCAGTAAGTTCCTTATGCCCTTCATAGAAATGGGAGCTCTAGCAAGAGCTGCAGTAGAAGATCCATTCCAGAGTCACAGCAGTGTTCGTGAGTTCTGCTCTCACCGGCAGAGCACTGTGCTGACTTGACAGTGCTCATAGCACTCCCCAGGACGGCCATAATGGAGGTTTTGAGGGTCTGAGGATCTCTCTATCTGCCTCACTTCTTTCTTCATTCTCTGTTTGCAAATAAAGCAATTTATTCATTTTTTAAAGTTAAGTAGCTTTGAAGAAACAAGCAGAAAACAGAGGTGGCTACAGCTTGGAGAAACATCTGATCCCATCACTGGAGAAAAACTGAAACAAATCCAAAAAGAAATACAAGAACAAGAGACACTTCTTCAGGGATATCAGCAGGTGTGACGCTTCTTCCGCCTCTGACGGCTTTGCTTTTGCCTCTTTTTTTTTTTAAATATTTACTTACTTATTATATATACATAATTCTGTCTGCATGTATACCTGAAGGCCAGAAGAGGGCACCAAATCTCATTACAGATGGTTGTGAGCCACCATGTGGTTGCTGGGAATTGAACTCAGGACATTTTGAAGAACAGGCAATGCTCTTAACCACTGAGCCATCTCTCCAGCCCCTGGTTTTGACTCTTTAATTATAAATGTAAGGTATATTAAAATACTGCTGTGGTCATTTAACATGCAGATATAAGTAAGAAAATAATTTGACCAGTGTTCTTTCCTCGACCTTTTCCCTCTGCTTGTCCTTCCTTCCCGCCCTCTGTCGGGTCCTCTGGAACTCACTGTATAGTGGTCCTCAAGGTTGTGATCCACCTCCCAAGTGCTGGGTGCAGGCATGCACTATCTTGACCACTTGGCCTACACATTTATTAGCCAGAGTAAAGTAGCTAAGAGCATCAATTCTGGTTTAAATAAAAACCTAGTTTTAAGTCTTAACTCTAATACCTACTATGGAACCATGTCCAACCCTCTCACCGGTGCTTCCTCTGTATTTATGAGTAGGGATAATAAGACAAGGGAATAGTGAAATTAAAAATAAAACAATACAAACCAGCCCCCTAACCTGGAATACAGTAACTAGTCAGAAACTGTTGCCTGCTATATTAACAGCCATGTTCCTTAGGAATGCGCATACTTCCCTTAGCTTCTACAAAATTTGTAATAGGTCTTGACTAGTCTTGCTGTTGTTTTCAGCGTATCAGTCTGCTCTCAAGTGCTGATGCCTCAAGGATGAACTTGTTTTTGTTTAGTGTGAGCTGTTTGTTGAAAGTGGCAGGTTTAAAATGTAGCTTCCTTCTCTGCCTCCTCTCTTGTCTTCCACCTCATTAAACTTCCCTTTTACAACTATAATCTGAGCTCTGTGCCTCTCTTTATCAGCCAGAGAAGCCTGGGGAAAGCATTTTCACCACACCAGATGCTCTGCCTCAGGTTAGGGAGACCACTGAGATCCCCTGTCTCATCCTGCCGTACGGAGGGGGACTTTAAGATTTCTCAGGCCCTAAGGATGTCAGCGATCCCCTCAGAAGACAATACACAGTTCCTTGTGTGTGTTGACATGCCATCTGCCAGGCACTAGTTCACATGCTGTGATAATCCTCCATAGTTTTTGTTACCACCTCAAAAGCTTTAGTTTTCAGAAAATTCTCAATATTAAGTGAGGTCAATATGTCAGAGCTTTAATCACAGATTCATTTGTTCCATATCAAATTACCCTACTGTTAGAAGTCAGGCTCCTAGAATTTTCCTCTAGTCCTCATGTTTTTCCTTTCTGGCCAAAACCAGAACTGGTATATAGTCCTGCTGGGCTTTCTCACCCCTGGCCCACACGTAAGTGCTAGGCTTCTCCACTCTCCCTTTTGCCTTCACTCTGGTGAAATTCAGTGTATCGCTCTGACATCAGACTCTTCAGTTTGGGGGAATTCTATAACTTCTTTGCAAGTTTCTAAAATTTTTAACATTTTAGATAGAGTTATGTCTAGAAAAGTTGCCTTCTAAGATAATAAAAGATACGTGAAAAGGGTTTTATAAAATTAAAATCTAAGAAAATTGTAAAGACCACCTAAGTGACTTATTTACTCCGTTTCATGTGACAAAGTACTGCTAATTTTTAGCTGAAATCATTTTTCTGTTTTTAAAAAGGAAAACGAAAGGTTGTATAATCAAGTAAAAGATCTCCAGGAACAAAATAAGAAAAACGAAGAGCGAATGTTTAAGGAAAATCAGAGTTTATTTAGTGAGCTAGCCTCTTTAAAGTAAGTTCTTTTGAATTTCTGACCCTTAAACATACTTAACCCTTTCTAAGCATATTGTTACCATATTAATAATGAGGTTTTTTCTTAAAAATGGTAAATACTTACCTGTTTTCATTTGTACACTAATTCCTGTCTCGTAAATGTTACATTGCATATCCAGAGGACTTTTCTTTCAGTAATTGATAGCTAGTATATACTCCAATATTCTCAGTGTATCCATATGTGAGTTTGACGTTGCTTTCAAAGAACTGAAAATAGAGCACTTGCCTTTATCGATAGATAACTGGTCCCTAAACAATGATTTGATTAATAGTACAAAAGTAAAAAATAAATCCACAGTATCAGCTTGGCCTTAGGTTCCGTAGAAACAGAATAACTGTAGAGTAACTCTGGAAAGAGAAAAAAATCATAATTCTAGAAAAAGAAAAAGAAAGTAAAAAAGGAGAGGGAGAGGATGCAAAGGGTATGATCTCAGCTGGAACCTGGCTTCACCCTGAGGCCACGAGGGAGCCCTAGAAAATAGACGATGCCACAGTTTGTACCTCTGACTGGGATGTAGCTGGGAGGGAACTCAGAACATCTTCTGGGTCAAAGGCTGTGGTTTAGATGAACTCAGTTGTTCCAAGTTGTTGTTCCAACAATCTAACACTCACCACAGAGCCGTGGCCACCAGAGCCTGCTTACTCATGCCCAACCCTGGTCCATTACCTTACTAGTGGACGAACAAACACCAAACCTACAAACAGGGACATATGAGGGCACTGTCTTCCTCTAGGAAATGACTGTTTAGTACATCATTCCACATAAATGTGCAGTTATTCAGGATGCTACCAGAAGTTTTGGTGACTATGAATATCATAGACACTAACCATATTTATTAACAGCCTCTCATTTTTAGATGACTTATAACATGAAAAGTGTAACCATTCACATATACTGACCTTCCGTGTAAAATAGAAAAATATACACCCTGTAGTAGAGAGAAGTGACAGCAATACAGATTGGTGAACAGAGAGAAGGAGGGAAGGAGAGAGAGAAAGAAAGAGAGAGTGTTTTAATGTCCCTTTCTCTTGGTCAGAGTGGCCCCAAAGCCAGGTATATTGATCTGATGCTTGAAGATACTTACATCTTCTTTTAAGATGCTTCTCATAAGTATTTCTGGCAAAGATCCGATCTGAACTGGAGATGTAGCTCAGTTGATGAGGTCTAGGTTGGGTTCAGTCCCCAGTACCACATGCACTAGTCCTGGTATACATGCCTGTTGTTGCAGTACTCTGGAGGGAGGCAGGAAGCTTGGAAGTTCAAGGTCATCCGCAGCCATACAACAGCTTAGTCCAGTTTGAACTGTGTGTCAGATATTAGATAAGTAAATATAACTTTTAAAATACCACATTTTTATTACCTGGCTTCTGGAAAGAGGTATTCCTAAATCCCAAATTAAGTGAACTTCCATGATAAAATAATTAACAGATAATTATTTAAATAATTTATTTAAAACAATAGGACTATATTATCTTATAGAGATTTTTTGAAAAAAAGTACCTAAAATTTGAATCTGAGGTCCAGATATGTTTCTGGTTTTGTTTCTATGTATAAAATTGAGATTTGTATTTGTCAGACCAAAGGAATCAGTCAGCAGCAGTGAGACCAGGAGTACAGAAAGCTCTAGAAAAATGGTGACACTTCAATATTTTTTAGAATTAAAAGCAAATATTTTTAAATTTCAATTAAACCAAAAATCTTAGTATTTCTGTTCTTCTAAAGTAGAAAGTATAGGCATTTCTCTCAAGTCTGTTTTTCTTTAATATGTCCATACTTTCATCTTTTTCCTCTAGTGGTGCATGTAGTGTGAGTTCATTAGAATATTATGTATTAAAGGAATACCTTGTCTTATAAAGTCTTTCTTTTTTAATTTTGAAAATCAGAGAACAGGTTCACAAAAATCGTTTCCTGTCTCAAGTAGTTGAAAATGTAGAACCCATCAAAAACCAGAGTTTCACAGATCTGCTAGCAGAATTACGGGTGGTGCAGGTAAGTTGAATAAGGATTTAAACTACTGAGGTTGGTAAAGTTATCATAGAAATTCCAGTGTTATAGAAAATTATGTTTGTAATAAATATATAAATAAAAATATATTTAAAGATGTTTACAATTAAGAATATCTAAGATTAGCACTTAGTATTCCTGTGACTTTAGTGTACAGAAAACCTTGGAAACCAGTTGAAATGGACCCCACTCTACAATGTAACCTCGCCTCAGGCATTTATCACATAGAGCCAGAGCAGAGTCATTGCATTTGGAGCACGTATATACTTTATTTCAAACAGATTCCTAGGGCTGTAAAGATGGCTCAAGTGTTGGTAAAGAATATGTGGCTACTCTTGCAGAAAACCCAAGTTCAGTTCTCAGTGCCCACTTCAGGCGGTTCACAAATCACCTCTAACTCCATTTCCAAAAGATCTAGTACCCCTGCCATCCAAGGGCCCCTTCACTCATGTACACACACACACTTATCCATGTAATTAAAAATAAACCTTAAAAAACAAATTCTTCATTGTGGTAATGCACTGTGCGATGAAATAGGAAAACAGTCAGGAGGTAATTTCATTTTCATCCTTTTTTCAAAGTACTCAGCGTACATCTAAACAGCAGACTGTGTATTATAAATATTGTATCCCAGATACCCAAGGTAAAGGTGGAGACTGGTTGGTGGTCTTAATTCCTGGACAGTCTCATTCATGAAGTCCTTTCCTGTGCCTGTATGCTGAAGAGTACTGCCCATGTTTTCTTACAGCAGTTCAGTGTTTTGGGTTTCAGACTGAGGTCTTTGATCCATTTGAAGTTAAGCTTTGTGCAGGGTGGAAGATGGGGTCTAATAGTTTTCGTTATTCTACATGTGGACATCCAGTTTTTTTAGTACCATTTGTTGAAAGCACCTTCGTCAGTGTGTATTTTTTGACATCATTGTCAACTACAAGAAGGCTCTAGTTATTTGTATTCAAATTTGGGTTTTTTATTTTGTACAGTTGGTCTACTTGTCTGTCTGTTTATGCCGGTAGCATGCTGTTTCTATCACCATGAATCTGCCGGTGTTTTGAAATCTGGAATGATAATCCCTCCATTCTTCTTTTTGCTCAGAATTGCTTTGGCAATCTGGGGTCTTTTGTGGTTCCATGTGAATTTTAGAACTTTTTTCTATTTCTGTAAAGATTGAGTATAGAATCAATCTGTAAAGATTGAGATGAACAAGAAGACTGCTTGTTCATTTCCCAACTGCTCAGACCTTAATTATCACACAGAAACTATATTAATTACAACGCCATTTGACATATTAGCTCAGGCTTCTTATTAAGTAACTCTTATATCTTAAATTAACCCATTTCTATTAATTTGTGTATTGCCACAAGGCTGTGGCTTACTGGAAAGTTTCTGGGTCCTTCTCCTTCGACAGCTACATGGCGTCCCTCCATTCTGCCTACTTTATATCTCTATCAGATTTCCCACATGGCTAAGCTCAACTAAGTCATTGGCTGGAACAGCTTCTTTAATAACCAATGGTAATAAAACATTCATAACAAACAGAGGTCAATCCCACATCATCTCCCCTTTTCTGTCTACATAAAAGGGAAGGTTTTAACTCTAACATAATATAATTACATATAACAAAACAGGCCTAAAGCAAAAATTAGAGTTACAATATTTATATCTACTTTCATTTTCATCATAACTAAGGAAAACTATAACTATCTATTCTTCAACTCTACCAATAACCCCAGCAGGATATAATATTACCTAAGTAACAGGGAGTGCATTGTAAGCTACTTCCAAAATTCTAGAATTGACAGAGACATCTTGCTGCCTGGACATTCACCCAAAAGTTCTTGCGTAACATTGGGGCCTCCATCTTCAGCCTTCAGGCCCATAGTATCCAGCAGACATTTCCATGAAGCAGGAAATTTGAAAGAGTGTTTTTCCTCTATTGGCACCTTATCAGTCATTTTCTTCTGTATCCTACAGAATGTCTGGCAGACTCATGAAGCAGGAACCCTGAAGGACTGTCTCATCTTCTTTAGGAAACTTTAGCAGTCATTTTTCTGTTAGTCCTGCATGTCCACTTCATACAGCGTACCAACAAGCAGTCCAGGCAAGAGCAGTTTCTTGCCCAGATGGCTAGCCTTTTCATGTTTAAAGCAAATTTCATAACAAGTTTCTCCAATGCCCATAACCGCTCTGAAGTAATTGGTGCTACCAGAATCAGACATGTCTCACTGTTGAGAAAATTCTAAGTTCTTAAAACGTTTTAAATGCCATATTCTGTAGGTCTTTCAAAGGGCTGAAGAATACCTGTCTGTCTGAAATATATCTCTGTACATCTAGAAAACCTAACTAATATGACTTACAAGTTTGACTACTATAGATGACTATTAATCTGTATTTCTTAACTATACATTACATTTTTAAATGAGCTGCACAAACATAATACCTTAATCAAGAGCAGAAACATACATGTAACAAAATTGACCTTAAATTTGTATCAGTAAGCCAAGATCCATACCAATGCAAAGTATTCATCTCTTTAGCATAGCCTTCTTATTTTTTTTATAGAAATTGACTGTGGCCATTAATCACTTACAATCAACCCCCTTTAAAACGATGAAATATAAATGAAAACAATCATTTATAAACAATATTTGGGAATTTGAACATAGTTTTTTAGTATTTCCTGCTAATTGGGTACACTGTTAATCAGGTCTTTCATGGGATAACCTGTGTGCCAGGTCCATCTCAGCCAGCAGTCCTGAAGCTGTCATAGATGTTGGACCATCTGGACGTTTGCTGCAGGGGTCTTGTTTGATCAAACCATATTAGCCAGTAAGGAATCCTCAGTTTCCTGTCCTCTGTGGAAACAAAAGCAGAACCCCTTTTCCAAAGCAACATATTTTAGACCCAAATTTTAAAGCCAAGATACCTTTAAAATATATATGTTGATTTAGCTTAGCAACCTGTACAATGAAATGTCTCTCTGTACTTAGCTCATTCATAGTCAAAAAATTCAAAGAAAGCACAATAATATTCATAATCCAGACTCTATATATTCCATCTTTACATGGCTTATTTTTCTTTATTCCTTTAATCTATGACTGTCTGTACTTGTCTCTTTAAAGACTTTTGTTTTTTTAAACTATTTCTTTTTCTAACTGTCTATACTCTTTCTTCTCTCTCTCAAGCCTATGTACATTCTTTAAACACACTGTGATCTGTTCAGAGGTTTATTTCTGTCTGAATTTGTCTTTATTGCATATCTGTAATCCTTTTCTGACCAGGAGTGCTTTAAAATGGTCAGCAGTGTGGTCACAGCAGCCCTGGGTGCTGTCTCCGCTTCTCAGCCTTTCAATATGGCGGAAGTGCCCTTACTACCAGCTCTGGAGCCTTGCTCACCACCTCAGCTCTGGTAAGCAGTTGACCTGTGCTGCCCACAAACCCCATTCATGTGCTCAGCCTCCTGAAAGAGCCAAAGCTGTTAGTGCAACTACCACAAACCAGGAAGCCTTCTTAAAGGAGCTGCACGGTTTCTGCTGCTACCACTGAGTCAGGACACCTTCTCTTAAAGGAATCGTGCCTCTGCTTACTTCTAACAAATAGAGCCAAATAGAGCCTACCCAAGATAATGCTGCTACCATGAAGCCATGCTTAATTCTGGTTTTTTGTGTCTAGAATTCCTTCCCAAGCACTCTCAGGTTTTATGTGGATGTGGTCGGCCCACATTGGCATGCCATTTTGTAAATAGAGACTGCTTGTTCATTTCCCGGCCAACAAGACCTGAATAATCACACAGAAACTATATTAATTGCAACACTGTTTGGTCTATTAGATCAGGCTTCTTATTAAGTAACTCTTGCATCTTAAATTAACCCATTTCTATTAATCTGTGTATTGCCACGAGGCTGTGGCTTACTAAAAAGTTTCTGGGTCCTTCTCCTTTGGCAGCTACGTAGTGTCCCTCCAAATCTACTTACTTTCTCTATATATCTGTGTACAGATTTCCCGCCTGGTTTCACTCTACTAAGCCACTGGCCAAAACAGCTTCTTTAATAACCAATGGTAATAAAACACATTCGTAGCATACACGGGGAGGGAGGGGATATCCTATATCAATTGAGATGGAGATTTTGATTGAGATTACACTGCATCTGTAAATAGCTTCTGGTAAAAATAGCCATTTTCACAATGTTAATGATACCAACCCATGAGAATGAGCTGTCTTTCCATTCACTAGCATCTACCTCTTTTTTAGAGGTTAAAAGTTTTCATTGTGTGCACAGTAACTGACAGGGAGGGAAAGTCCTATTTGCCAGGTAGAACCCCTCATACAGTGTACTGACATGACACAGGCCCTGTTTCTGCATCTATACAAACCCAGAGCAGAGTCCTTATCCATTTAGGTATTTACTGTGTGGTTGAATTCAATGACACTTTAAATTCTGGACTACTATAATGAAGTAGGCACTGCTAGATAGCATTTCTAAGTCAGAGTGATTAAACACACAGTATTTTCAGAAAGGTACATGGATTTTGAAAACTTGAAGTTCATACCCTTGAAAAGACATCCATGGACCACACAGATTAAGCAATGAAATGAATCTGAGATGTCTATAAAATCCAAAATGACATGATGCTTTATGAACATATTTATTTTCTTTTGTCAGACTTAATTTAAATCATAACATAGTGTAATACAGGATTTGTGAGAATCTGTAGTTTCATTACTGTGAGTGCAGGACTTTCTTCAGCAGTTTTAAGTCTGGTGTGTGTGTGTGTGTGTGTGTACACAGAGTCCATGCCATGTGCTTATACCATAAAGTAAGCAGAAATTATAAACCAATTTCACAGAAAGTGAGAAGAATCCATACATGGAGCAGTGTTGTATAAAAAGTTTGTGTGGGCATAGAAGGAATTACTAGGAATCTCTTTCCTGGCTACACACGGGACTCAGAAGGGTAGGCGTGAATTTTGCAAACCAGAAGAGCGGACATAGTCCAAGTATTGACAATGGTGTGGAGCACAGGGTAGTTGGGGATTCACTTAGCTTTTATTTTAATTTTTAAATTATTCTTATTTTATTTGCATGAGTATTTTGCCTGCATGTATATCTGTATACCACACTTATATCTGGTGCCTATCGAGACCAGAGAGAGCATAAGACCCCCTGGAACTGGAGTTACAGATTGTTGTGAGCCACTGTGTGCATACTAAGAATCAAACCTGGTTTTCTGGAAGAGCAGCAAGTGCTCCCAACCATCGCACATCTCTTCAGCCCCTTAACCTTTGTTTTAGTGCCCAACCCTTTTATGTAATTGTAATAGGAGTTATCAAAATAATTCAGGCATGGTGGCAAAATACTTTAATCCCAGCACCTGGGAGGCAGAGGCAGGTAGATCTCTGAGTTGGAGACCAGCCTGATCTACCTAGCGAGTTCTAGGGTTACATAGTGAGAGTTTGCCTTTTAAAAAAAAAAAATCTGCTTTTAGTTAAATAGGTAATAGGTCAGGTGGTGATGAGTTTCAGTCAGAGGAAAAGCTTACATTTTTCAGAGAAAGTGACCAGGCGAGGTTTTCCCGAGGCTTCTTTGGAGCAGTCATGACAGGAAGGAGCAAGTTACCTTGCAGAGGGATACCTGGCAGACGTGGGTAGGAGTGCTCTAGAGGTAGGCGGTGTTCAGAGAGCAGCAAACAGGCCTCTGGCTAGTGTACTCAGTCACGGTCACAACCAGGTTATGTGACACTCAAAGTCGTGGTTCACTTAGGATTCACCCTAAGAGAAGAACCACTGGGGGTTCACCGGGAGCACTGTTCCTAGTCCAGCCGACTGCTGCAGGAACAGGCCTACAGCAGTCCAAGCAAAGGCCTTCAGGAAGAACACATTGGGATAATAGAGTGCGGATCTCCAGTGCAGTGGTGAGAAGACAGGAATCAGTACTAGAGCCTGGGAAGTTAATGGTTTAGGGGTAGAGCACCCTCTGACCCTTTTACATAAAATGTGACCTGAAATTCAGGAAATTTCATAACAGTATTTTTGATGGCTTGAGAAGAGAGAATCCCATGATTTATTGTGTTTGAAAGTAGCCCACTTTTATATTCCTTCAAATATCAAGAAAGAGAAAAACCATCTGATGGAAGACATCAAAAGACTGAAGCAGGACAAACAAGCTCTTGAAGTGGACTTGGAAAAAGTGAAGAAAGAGAGAGACCAAGCCAAAGAACAGACTGCTTATGCCACGGGTGAGTGCGGCTGGGACTGCTCCCTTTTGGTTCCAATCATGAAGTGAATAGAAATTGAATGGTATCATTAAATACTTACCTGCAGGTAACTTGTAATCTTTGAAACATTTTAAAATGAGTGATATACTTCTTACTTTTAACTAGAACAGTTGTAACATCAAGGGAGAACTCATAGCTTTGTGTTGAGTTGTTAAAGGCCTGTGCTCTTAGCCTGGCTGAGAGCTTCCTGCCTGAAGGCAGGACTGAAACATGCTTTGTTTGTTTGTTTGTTTGTTTGTTTGTTTGTTTGTTTGTTTTTGCCACATGAACACTTAACACTGCATTATTTTATAGGAATGAAAAGAAACATGGCATGGCACCCACCAGTAAACATTTGGGGAGAAAGATAAAGATAAACAGAATTTAATAGGGAGGTGGGGGTACAGACAACAAGAATTCGGAGAAAAATGGCATTGGAGTCAGGCCCAGACAGTGCGATCTGGAAGTAGAGGAGCAGAGGGAGGCTTGGGGTGGCCTTAGGCACACTGCTGAGTAGGGCAGAACACAGCCTCAAAGGTCGGAAGACTTAGGCTTTCTGCCAAAGTTAGTCTTCTATCCACAGTGCCGTCAGCGTCAGGGTAAACGCCATACAAAGAAGCCATTAACAGTGTATAAGGAAACAGTGTTCCCCTCCCTTATCTCTAAAGTGGAGGAGTAAACTACTTTTCAAAAGTTCAAAAATGTTTTCCATATAAATTTGTTGTGTTAACTAAAATAAATCACTTACTAATGTATGCCATTTTTACTAATTATAAACATTCCTTATTTTTATTTCTTGAACCTATTTTTCCACTGGAAACAATTTGATTTTCATAATATGTCAATGGGAAGCAATCGCACATTTCTAGATAGCCATCCTTGTTAATGAAATCGAAGCTTTGGATTATAAATACAATCTCTTGTCTCTATTACTAAAAGATTCAACTAGACACTGATGTATATATAGATTATTTGTTTGTTCCTCTTTTTTAATAATGCTTTCATTAGATAGACATTGGCTTTTTATTTAAAACATTGGAATTTTGTTATTTCCATATTTTGAAAAATTACCATCAGGTTATTGAGTTACTTTATTATTTAGGTGAAAAATTATATGAAATAAAAATTTTGGAAGAAACACATAAGCAAGAAGTCAGTCGTCTGCAGAAGCGGTTACAGTGGTATGCTGAGAATCAGGAGCTTCTAGATAAAGATGCAGCTCGTCTCCGAGAGGCCACTGAAGAAGCTGAGAAGCTGAAACTAGAGGTACTTTTTACATGAGCCCTCGCACTGTGGTGTCCTCATGTCTAATTTTGTCACTGCCCCCTTAGTCTTTGTGCTTTGTCTCCTATCCTGGAGATGCGTCCAGAGCCTTGCACGTGCTCTGCTGTGCCACCATACCCCTAATTCTCGGCTCCTTACTCATAGAGTCTGAATTTATAGCTAGTTTGGATGTTGGTTTGAGTTTAAATGACTAGTCTTTTTAGATAGACTGTAGATAAATGCCAGCTGCTTATCACAGCCTGTAGGGACCATCTGGCCTGAGCCTCACACCTCCTCCGCGCCACTGGGTGAGTAGACACACGGCTCTTCCAGACTCATTCCACTTGCTGCCTTGTCCTTGGGTTTTCACACGCCTTGCTCCCTCTCTTCCTCGTCGGAACTCAGCTCCAGTTTCTACTCTTCAGGCTTCCTCCCCAGCCTGACCCTGCTCTTTGTCCTTCACTCCGCTCTCTGGTTGATAGCACTGTCCCTCTGTACAGTGATTTTCTTCACCTGTTGATTTACGTAGCTGGTCATCCATCTGTCTCTACAGCCAAGGACCCGGATTCTCTTGTTTGCTGCCATCTTCTGCCTCCAGTACTGCACTTTGGAGACACTAGGAACAAAGGATTTGCTCAATCAGTGTCTGTTACAGAGTGAATTAATGAATTAACATTGTGCAGCCTCCACTGTTGGTGCCTTCCTGTTGTTGTAAATATATTTCTTACATCACCATGTTCTTCCCTTGTCAACAGATCGAAAAACTGAAAACTGAGTCTGGGAGCCCAACTACTCAGCAAAGGTTACGCTCAAAGGAAAGAGCTCTTGATGCCAAAAGAATTCAGGATCTGGAGCGGCAGGTAAATGTCAGAGACGAATTTTTATTGAAGCACCTTTAATGTATACAGACTGAATTACTCAGGAAATCCTTAAAGTGCCAGCAATAAAGTGTATAACAGATTGCATAGCGCAGGTCTCAGATCTGCAGAACCTTAGGCTGGTGTTCTCTGTCAGAAGACGGAGATCTATTGATGAGAGATCCTTCTGCTGCCCAGCTTTAGGAAGACAGGAGCAGAAATTTGAAACATTGGGTATTGAGTTTTAATTTTTGTTTCTTGGGAGGCTGAGGCAGTAGGATCACTCGAACTCAGGAATTCAGGACAATCTCAGAAACATAGCAAAATCCTTTCTCTTTTTTTAGATTAACCCATAATATCCTGACCAAAAATAGGTGGGAAGAAAGGGAGTACAGGAAGAAAGGGCCTGGAATTTGGATTATGTGGTAACACTGGGAAATGTTACAAAACAAACACTGTACACAAAGAACATTCAGTTTTCCCATCTGCTGGCCATCAGCCTGAACCTTGCTCATCATGTGTTCATTTCAGGGTGGCTATAGCAAAGAGACTTCATTAAACCCTTTTTTATTGAAGTACTTTTTGAGGGATACAGACAATTTCCTTTTATTTTTAAAGCATTCTATGTAGCATTTATATTCATAACTGAATATTAAAGTATGATTTTTTCCAACCTTTGAGGGAGCAGGACTTTTGTAATTGCCTGCAGGTACTTAAACAGAGAGCTATTATTTCATCACAGATCCAAGACTGTGAGGTCATCACAGAGCTGAGTGGTTTTAGGAGGAAGTAAAATTCAACTTTGTTACCTTCACAGGATCTTTTCTGGTATTAAGAGGTATGATTTAGTAATTTGGCTAAAGAAAAGACCAGGACAGAAGTGGCTTGAAGAGTGAGAAGTATTTGAAATTGAGTGTAGTGTGGGATTGTGTTCAGGTTGTCTTCAGGGCTTAGGGTTTATGTTGCCCAGTATAGAGACAGCTGTCCAGAACTGGGAGGGGATAGAGGCAAAGGAGTAAGTCCACTAGATGATCACCTAAAGAGAGACCATGTCAAACTGGATGTGTGGGAGGAAAGGCATGGTATACTTGACGTGTGTGCGACTTCAGAGGGTGGGGCTGGAGAGCTGCGCAGTCGTTACAGGGCTTCCTGTGCAAGCCTGAGGACCTGAGTCAGTCCTCGGGCCTCCAGAAACAGTCAGCATGGCAGCATACGCCTGTCGTCCCAGTTCTGGAGGGGCTTACTGGGCATCTAGCCAGCCAGCCCAGTCCACAAGCCTCAGATACCCGTAAAATATCCTATAAAAATCCCGTCTCCTAAGACTCCACCTGAAGACCAGCACTCAAGGTTGACAAGGCTTGTGTTTGCCAGTGCAGGTCTGTACATGCACACTCTTTCCCTACCTCCCCATCCTCAGGTGGGGCTCCATATTGGCCAGAAACACACTGTTTATAACAGTCACACTCTGATTGAACATTTGTTGATTATCCATCTTAGGGTAGATCCTTGAAAAATACTCTTTGGTAATATTTTTAGTTAGGTTGCTACCTGTGCATATCTGATATACTTACTTATTCTGTCTCTTTGAACACTTCTTTTGTAATGATTTTATGCTTGAACATTTGCTTTAGAACCAGAATATATCACAGTATAGTTAGAATCATTTCAAGTCATGTTCTGAAATGGATTAGCTGTAAGTAAAATGTACTTTCTAAATAGAACATAAGTAAGAATGAGGCTAATTGAATGTACCTTATAAGAAAATTTACATTATCTCTTCATACTTTTATTTAATGGACTATTTCATAGTTTAATTGTCTGAGATCTTTTAAAAAATTGACCTTGTATAACCAGACAGACATTAACCAAAGAATAAAATTTTCACTCAAAATTAAAGAAGGTACAGACAAAATTTAATTTTTTCCCAAAAAGTAATATGTATTTCATGATATGACATTTTAATATTAAAATAAATCAATTAATTTAAAATAGTTTAATCTAGTTCTCTTTTAACATATGTGTCATGTATACCTGCCCTAATTAGTAATTCACTCCGATTACTAGATTGTTAATACCAGAGGAAACAGCTCTGAATGCTGTCCTGGTAAAGTAAATTTATGATGTGTATCTGGATAGAGCTCAGTTGATAGTGTGCCACGAGCAGGCAGTTTTAAGAAATAGAAATGCTTACTGCTGGCTTTGCAACCAGTATGTCCCAGAATTTCTACTGTGAGTTGTGTTGTCTGCTCTTAGGTTTTTGAGCTTCAACAATTAAGAAATTTAGTCCTTTTTTAGACAAATTCATTCTAAAAGCCAGCATTTATCAGTGCTATTTGATACTCGGCAAATGCTTATCAAGATAGAAGTTAGTTGATCCTCCCTGTTTGAATCCTGGGAGTTAATATTGTTGATATCTTTGTTTTACCCATAAAGCAAGAAATTTGGATTGAGGAAACCAAGTCTCTCTAGTGAGGAGCACGGTAACCAGACACGACCTTAACCACTGTGCTCTATTGTGTCTCGGCTTTGTATTATTGCATGCTTATGAGATAGGAAAGTGTTGAAACAAAGACTGTTGGGTTTAATATATAGTTTACAGAATGTCATGGCTGTCGTAATACCATTTTAAAGTAGGTGTAGGCTCTGGCTTCTGTAATACTAAGCTGCAGTTTCTGTGCATTGAAGCACAGCACTCTCTTACAAAAAAAAAGTCTTAAAATACATCATTGGTTTGTAGACTGAGTGAAGGTAGTCTTTTATGGAGACTTTAAGAAGGTCATTTTAGGAGAAGGAGACATGGTTCTGCAGTTTAGAGCACTTGCTACTCTTGCACAGGACCCAGGTTTGATTCCTAGCACCCAGACAGTAGCTCACAACAGTCTGTAACTCTAGTCTCGGGATTCTTCTGACCCCCATAGGCACTGCATGCACATGGTACTTAGACAAAACACCCATATATTTAATTTTTTTTCTTTTAAAGGATAATATTAACTGTCCTTGGCAGGGAGGGCTAATGTCCTAGATAGGCAGGTGCTTAGGATGGCCTGTGTCTGTAGTAGTGCATTGCCTGCTCTGTGCAGATCGGTACATTTTCAACCAGTAGGTACCAGGAATGCTGTCACATAAAGAGGTCAGTGGGCAGAACAAGAGCTATGTACTCCAGACAAGCTATTACCAATAGAATAGCAAGGCTGAAGGTATGCTTTGAGTGAGTGTAAGAGATCTCTGTAAGCTGAACAAGCTAATTAGATGTTAGAGGGTAATCTTTTGAAATGACTGCATTCCTGTGTCTTTGATTCAGAATGGAGGTTGGATGTAAACATCCCTGACGTGACTGGTGTGGCATGATCTAAGCTTAGACATTAAACTGCTTCTCTATGCATATTTGTCAACTTACAGATATTTAACACATTTTCATAGGTTAAAGAAATGGAAGGAATTCTGAAGAGAAGATACCCCAACTCTTTACCTGCTTTGATTCTGGCTGCCTCCGCAGCTGGTGATTCAGTAGATAAAAATACAGTAGAGTTTATGGAAAGGAGGATAAAAAAGCTAGAAGCTGATCTGGAGGGCAAAGATGAAGAAGCAAAGAAAAGCCTTCGCACCATGGAACAACAGTTTCAGAAAATGAAGGTAAGTGCTTCAAGGTAGCAGAGATGGAGCATGGGAGCAGGTCATTCCCAACCCTCACTTTAACAAACATCTCAGAGCATCTTTGTCCACCAGTGTGATTCCATATAAAAGAAGTCTAGGTCCCCTGTGTCTTCTTGAGCTCCATCAGCAACTCCTTTCTGTTTCTGACAGAATAACCAAGTGCAAGATATCTTTCTTTTAAATAAATTTATTTTACATTTTGGTCACAGTTTTCCCTCCTCCTCCTCCTCCCAGTCCATCACCTCCACCCTGCAATCCACTCCTCCATTTCTGTTTAGGAAAGGGAAGGTCACCCATGAGCATCAATAAAACATGGCATATCAACTTGCAGTAAGATTAAGCACTTTCCCATGTATTAAGTATGAGCAAAGCGACTCAGTATGAGGAGTAGGTTCCCAAAAGAGTCAGAGACAGCCCCTGTTCCCACTGTTTAGAGTCCCATAAGAGCACCAAGCTACTCAACTGTCACATATATACAGAGTTACTAGGTCTGTCCCATGCAGTCTCCCTTCTTGTTACCTAGTCTCTGTGGGTCTATGTATTATGGCATCACATCTAATATTTTATTTACATCTAATATCCACTTATGAATGAGTATATACCATGCTTGTCTTTCTCAGTCTGGGTTACCTCAGGATGATTTTTTTCTAGTTCTATCCATTTGCCTTGTTTTTAACCATTGGTTGAGGGACATCTAGGTTGTTTCCAGGTTCTGACTATTACAAATAAAGTTGCTATGAACATAGAAGAGTAAGTGTTCTTGTGATATGGTTGAGCTTTCTTTGGGCATAGGTCCAAGAGTGGATCTTATGGTATATTGATTCCCAGTTTTCTGAGGAAACCATCATACTGATCTCCAAAGTGGCTGTACAAGTTTATACTCCCACCAGCAATGGAGGAGTGTTCCCTTTACTCCACATCCTCTTTAGCCTGAGGTGTCACTTGTAGTTTTTGGTTTTTGGTTTTTTGAGACAGGGTTTCTCTGTAGTTTTGGAACCTGTCTTGGAACTAGCTCTTGTAGACCAGGTTGGCCTCTATCTCACAGAAATCTTCCTGCCTCTGCCTACCGAGTACTGGGATTAAAGGTGTGCGCCACCACCGTCCATTGTCAATTGTGGTTTTATTCTTAGCCATTCTGACAGGTGTAAGATGGAATCTCAAAGTTGTTTTGATTTGCATTTCCCTGATGGATAAGGATATTGAACATCTCCTTAAATGTTTCTCAGCCATTTGAGATTCTTCACTTGAGAATTCTCTTTAGATCTGTACTCCTTTTATAAATTAGATTATTTAGTTTGTTGAGATATAGTTTCTTGAGTTCTTTATATATTTTGGAAATCAGCCCTCTGTTGAATATGGGGTTGGTGAAGATCTTTTCCCCTTCTGTAGGCTGCCACCGTTTTGTCTTATTGACAACATCCTTTAACTTACAGAAACCTTTCAATTTCATGAAGTCCCATTTTTTAATTGTCAATCGTAGTTCCTGTGCTATTGGTGTTCTGTTCAGAAAGTTGTCTCCTCTGTAGGAGAAGGGCCTGCATGTTCATCCCAGTGCCCCGAGATAATAACACTGAAACTATATTAATTAAATCACTGCTTGGCCCATTAGCTCTAGCCTCTTATTGACTAACTCTCACATCTTGATTTAACCCATTTCTGTTAATCTATACATCGCCACGTGGCAGTGGCTTACCAGCAAAGATTCATCTTGTCTTACTCTGGTGGCGGCTCCATGGCGGCTCACTGTTTGCTTTCTTCCTCCCAGAATTCAGTTGCATCTTCCCCACCTACCTAAGTTCTGCCCTATCAAGGGCCCAAAGCAGTTTCTTTATTAACCAATGAAAGCAACACAAAGACAGAAGGACATCCTATACCACTCCTCTGCCAGAGCATTCAAGATTATTTCCCACTTTCTCTTCTATCAGGTTCAGTGTATCTGGAGGAGGTCTTTGATCTGTTTGGACTTGAGTTTTGTACAGGGTAATAGACATGAGTCTATTTGCATTTTTCTACATGTTGATATCCAGTTGTGCCAGCACCATTTGTTGAAGGTGCTTTCTTTATTTCCATTGTATAATTTTGGCTTATTTATCAAAAATCAGATGTTTATAGGTATGTGGATTTATGTCTGGGTCTTCAATTCCATTGATCCACCTATCTGTTTTAATGTCAATACCATGTGATTTTTATTACTATAGCTCTGTAGTAGAGTTTGAAATCAGGGATGGTGATGCCTCTGGAAGTTCTTTTATTATACAGGATTGTTTTAGCTATCCTGGTTTTTTGTTTTTACATATGAAATTGAGTATTGTTCTTTCAAGGTCTGTAAATAAATGTGTTGTAATTTTAATGGGGATTCATTGAATCTGTATATTGCTTTTGGCAAGATGGCCATTTCTGCTATGTTAACCCTGATCCATGAACACAGGAGATCTTTCCATCTTCTGACATCTTCAATTTCTTTCTTCAAAAATTCGAAGTTCTGCACAAGATATCATTATGCAATCCTGTCAGTATTAGAGTCAAAGGAAAATAAGTCAGGAAAAATAGATTAAAACACCTCTGCTGTGTGTTCAGAAGCAGAGGAGAGAAGGCACTGCAATTGTTGACGTTCATCTAGTAGTGTGTATGGGTAAGGAGATGGACAGAGGCACCCATCTTGGAGGTGGGAGGGGTTATTAAAGAGCATCCTTGCTCAGAAATTTTTTATTTCCTAAATTTTCCATTCTTTAATGGAACAGAAATGAATTAAAAGGTTCACTCCAGCTCCATCAGGTTCCTCCTGCCCCCTCACACCTCCCTTCTTTGTGCATGTGCACATACTACCACCATCCCTCTTTTAAGTGGTAGTTCTGGGGTTAGACTCAGGGTTTTGTGTGTACTAATCAGGTGCTCTACCACTGAGCTACATCCCAGCCCCATGCACATCCACGTTTGTTGATACCCCTTGAACAATTTCTGTGTGATCACATTAAATATCCAGACTAGATATTTAATAACTATTTAATCAATTAGCTACTAATTAATTATAAATGCTAGAAAATTAAGTGTCACCCTACCCATAGGTGCTTAAAAGTACATTCCTACCACCACACAAACATTTGACTAAATGATTATAATTACTGTTAACAGTTCACTGAACAAGTAGGGACTCTAAAACATAAACTCTAGCTTAGTACCGTGTTTCTGTATCTATAAATCTACCTACACTAATTTTCCTCCTCTTACATCTCCCTACCACCTTTCCACCCCTCCCCTTCCTCACAATACCTACCACTTCCTCCTTTCAGTTCTGATTTTCAATAGACACTAATATTCTATAACCTTTGTCTATCCCCCTTCCACTCCTAGGTAGCCTGGGTCTACTTACCCCATTTCTTCTTCTTTTTTTATTGTTTTCATTGAGCTATAGATTTTTCTTTGCTGCTCTCCCTCTCCCTTCCCCTTCTACACTCTCTCGTGGTCCCCATGCTCCCAATATACTAAGGAAATCTTGTCTTTTTCTACTTCCTGCAAAGATTAGATCCATGTATGTTTCTCTTCGGATTCTCTTTGTTGTCTAGGTTCTCTAGTATTGTGAATTGTAGGCTGGTTTTTCTTTGTTTTATGTCTAAAAGCCACTTATGAGTGAGTACATATGATATTTGTCTTTCTGGTTCTGCTTACCCCATTTTTTACTCAGCCTTGAAGACTAAATGTAAATGTGATGTCTCTGTGCAGTCTTCCTGCCTTCCTTGGGTCTCCAGGCATCAGCAGTGCCTCAACCCCTGTACTGTGTGTCTTTACTGCAAGTGTCCTAAAACATGGCAGCTGTCATGTTGTTCTCCTCCTCTAGACTGTTATCTGTTTGAAATCATAGCTAAAGGTCATTAGAACCAAGCACAGTACTTGGTTGTAGCTCAGTAAATGCTCATAAATGAGCAAACACTGGTACCTGACTCCAAATAGAATAAACTATTTATTCTTTATATTTCATTTTGCACTAAAGGTCCAATATAAAAATTCTAAGCTGTTGCACTCACAGTTTTGAAATGTACTGTTCTCAGGAGGATGAATCACAGGTTCAAGGCCAGAAAGACCCTCTCTTTAAAAACCAAAGCAAATAGAAAATGTACTGTTTCTCAAACACTTCAGTACCTCCAGTTGCTTTGCATGTTTATCTTCAGGGTATAACAGCTTGAATGGAGAAGCAGAATTATAGGCTAACATTAATTTAATTAGTTTAACAGTATAAAGTAGCAATACTATTATTTTATTAAGCCTCAACTATTTTCTTTTTGAGACAGGGCCTCATGTATCTCAGGATGCCCTTGAGCTCACTGTGTAGCCCCAGTAGATCTTAAACTCCTGACCCTCCTGCCTCTGGGGTTGCAGGCATGTGGCACTATTCCCAGCTCTTAAACTTAAATTTTAACACCTGGGGGCTGCATAACTCTGAATCAATGTTTAAATGATATAGTTACACCTTTCAGAGACTAAAGTCAATACATCTGATTTGCAAAGAAGACTGAAGACATAAGAATATATGAGTGTTTGGACAGAGGACTCAAGTGAACACAACAAAATGCACAGTTTCAGTAAGTAATGGCGTGTTTAACGGGGTTTTGATAGGACCTGAATTCTCTCCTCAGATCCAGTATGAACAGCGGCTGGAGGAGCAGGAGCAGCTGCTTGCACACAGACTAAAGGAAGCTCCACAGAGCCAGCGCAGCAGTTCATCCAGGCTTAAGGCACTTGAGGCAGAACTTGGGGAAATAAAGGAAGCCCATCAGGTCACTGTAAAAAAGCTAGAAGACGAAATTGATGTTCTTAAACATCAGAATGCTGAGTTAGAACACAAGAAGAATGACAAAGAGGATCAGGATCTCCAGTCTATAGAATTCCAGGTAGAGCAGGCACATGCTAAAGCAAAGCTGGCAAGACTCAACGAAGAACTGGCAGCAAAGGGGAGAGAGATACAAGACCTTACGAAAACTGTGGAGAGGCTCCAGAAGGAGAGAAGAATGATGCTGTCTAGGCAGAGCCCCAGGAGCAGAGAGGAAATGTCTGCCAAACGGCTGAAGAAAGAGGCTTTGCACCCAGATAGAAGGAATGCATATTCCTTCCCTGGAACCCTAGATGCCAAACTGTACCACCCACACACCTTTACCAACTCCCATGTTTCAGAGGTTTTACAAGAAAACTACAGATTGAAGAAAGAACTAGAGGGATTGATTTTAGAGAGAAGTAAGCTGAAGATGGACTCTGAAGCAGCAGTACAGCAATTTGAAAACTCCATGAAAAGGTAAAAGGTTAAATTGTTCATAAATATATGGGAACACAGTTTAATTATAAGGCATATTTTCTATATAATAACTTGACTTTGAAACATATTCATACATTTTAAGAAACTATAGTTGATCAACTGCTAGAATGCCTGCCTAGTGCACATGGAACCGTGTGTTTGATCCCCAAAACCACAGAAATAGCGTGTGTGGGGAGCATCCACGTCCTCCTAACACTCAATCACTTGGTAAAGCTGGAGGATCATAAAAGTCATTCTTTGCTACATAGCAAGTTACATGTGACTGGTCTAAAAAAATAATATTTATTGTGTGTATGTAGTGGAGTGTGTGAAGATAAAGGATTTTCAGTGTAGGATCCTCTACCTGATGAAGCACCAGATTCTGATGAACTGAAACCTCCATGCCAATCCAAGCCATGTCTTTGGGGTGAATGGCAAGTTTCCTCTCTTTATTCATAAATTAGTTCTCCCTCCCCACCAGGCTTTCATCCCTGCCCATGGTTGCTAACAGTTAATTCTAGCTGCCAGTCAGTTTTATCTCCTTTATTGCTTGAGTTCATTGTCTATAGGACACTGTCTATCACTGTTCCCACCTGTACCACCCTCCTTTCTGTACCTAACACAACATCATACTTCCCACCCCATCATCCTTCATTTCCTTCTCTCCCAAACATCTTGGGGGGGGGGGTGTCTGTGTGTGTATTTAAATGTTCTCATTATCATTGGGTCATTATGTCTTTTAGTAACTACCAACTTCCTTAACTATCAATAATAAATTTTTCTGCCTCTCTTTTCAAATTCTGTGGCTACTCTCATATTAATCTCTGTGCCTAACTGCCATGTGATAGGGGAGTTCAGCCAATCATATTCTGTTTTCGGGGCGTGCCGCCCTCAGGCAAGAGCCTGCCTATAAACCTTGCAAACGCGCTCCGCTAGCCCTCTTTCCGCCTGGCTCCTGTGTCCGGACGGATCGGTTAGATTCTGGTGTAAGCTGTTGTAAGTCTTGCTTCTGTTTATTAAAGCTATATATTTTGTATCAAGATAGTCTGGGGACTTTTCTTTACCAATCGCCCTGCAGCTTCAGCCATGTTTCTTTGTGCTTCTTGCTCAGTTGTGTTTGAAGTTCTGCTTCTTCCACAAAACATTTCTTGGCCTATCTCAGAAAATTGCTTGCTCCCACCCACAACGCCTACATAAGCATTAATCAGCAGCAGTCTTGTAGCTCCCAAAGAACAGAGAGAAGATCGCACTGCTTTTGCATGCCCTTGCCTGCAGTTACCTGGTTTCACTCAACAGGATGAGCATGGCAGTAGCACCCACAATGCTTATTTTATTTTTTGATTGACAGCAGTGCTGGCAATTAAATCAACATGGCAGCACCATATTGAAATTGGTTTCTCCAGTACTGAACCTAGTCGTTATTCTTTCCTAGAAACAACTTAAAATTCAGGTTTGTAGTTTCAGGTTTCTTGCAGGAAATTTTTCTTTAAGTTTTTGCTAGTATTGTTAGTCTGTTTCTCTGATGCTGAGTTTTCCTTGTCCCAGATTGAGGCTGTTCTTTACTATAACTGAGTTATATTATGAGTGGTTTTGGTTTTAATCCTTTTCCTAGAATGCTAACTATACTGCTTCCATGGAGAAATAGCAACTGATGCTTGTCTGTCCCTTGTAGATTGCCATATTAGTTTTTAGCATCAGTGATTCATAGCCATACCACGTACTTAATGCCTGAAATGCATCACATGTACCTTCCAAGTGAAGCAATTATTCTGAGAATTACCATAAAATTAATGTATTCTCATAACATGCAACTGTCCCGGTAATCATTTGCATGTCCAAATATTGAGGAGCTGCCAATAAAAACCAATGAAGATTTTACAGACTGTGGTTATCCAAACAAGAACCCAAGTGAGCAATCTGAGTATACCTTAAAAAACAGAGTGACTAAACATTTGCTTGAAATCCAGGGAGGTGCATTGAAACATTGGAGAATACAGTTTCAGATAGAGAGAGTGAAAGGCCCACATTTTAAACTCCATTTGTGCTTGACTTGATCTCAGGCTAGACAGCTTGCAGGTCTGTACCCTTGGCATGGCCTGGGTGTCACTTTCCCAAACCCAGTACTCTTACAAAGCCTGGGACAGGCTAGCCTGTGAGTGACTGGAGGAGCTCACAACATGCTGCTGAGCACACCCGACATGCAGCCAGGAGTAGCTGCCCTCTGCTGCCTTCTTTTCCAGGTCTTGGCTCCTGTCTGGGCTTTTTGAGTTAGAGGTGTGAGAGCCACTTCACGTGTTCTCTTGTGTTTCTTCCCAGGGTCAAGGATGACAGTGCGGCACACATCGCGTCCCTCAAGGCGTCTCATCAGAGGGAAATAGAGAAACTCCTTTGCCAGAATGCAATAGAAAATTCCTCTTCCAAAGTAGCTGAACTGACTCGCAAAATCACAACTCAAGAGGTAGCTGGTCCTTCTCAGACATCACTAGTGTATTTTTAAGACTGATAGAACAGGATTTAATTTGGAAATGTTTTAACTTCATTTTTTTTCAGGTTGGAGATACAAATGGAAAATAATTATTGACTTAATTTTTATAATATAGAGGGGATTATCGTTACCATTTTTTTAACATTTACCTTCAAATTATGTCCTATAAATGTTTCTACAGACCTGTCCCTACACTTCTCAGCTCTTCCTCTATGTAGGCTGTCACAGACAGCTGTCTAGGTCTAGCTGAGTGGACCTTATCACTTGAACTTGCGTGTGTTGGCCTCCCTCCCTCCCTCCACCGCAAGTCCCAAATGATGAGTGCTTATCCTCCTGCTTTCTTCCTGCTTGTTACTTTTCATTGTGGAGCAACTAAAGGCTCCAGACGGTGAGGCACTAGGGATAAAGTAGCGAACAGAGACACACAGCTCCAGCCACGGGAAACACAGCCTTCCAACAGCTGTGACAGGGAATGTTGGCAACCCATCAGCATTTCCTTCAATCAGTGGCTTCCTTCTTGGATAACAGGTACATCTACTCAGACTGTCTGAAAATAACTCCCCTGTGGCCGTTTTCTGTACTGTTAGGATGAAAATAACTTTTGTTAAAAATGGGAAACATAAGCAGTGCTGAATGAAGCTGAGTATTTATTTTGCTCCTCATCCTTCCTAGAGGTTTTTACTTTCATAAGACAAGCTTCAGGGGAGGCTTCAACAAACTACTACCATCTCTCCCTCCTGTAATATATTACCAGTAGAATTTCAGACAAAGCCTTGGTTGGGGAAATTTAAAGAGGGGTGGGTTATTAAATATTTTTAAATCATTGTAAATTATCAGATGTGAAAATGTTATTATACCTTTTGAGAAATGCCGTGTTACAGAGAGGTACATGTTGAAACGTGGGGGATGAAATGTAAGGAACCACTACAGTTCCTATAATGTAGTTAGGCGTGTCTTAAATTTTTCTGAAGTATTCTTCAGGTTATCACCTGGCCTAGCCCTGAAGACCCTTGCCAGATGTCAGAAGGCAGCTGACATTGCACCACGTGATTTTCGGGGATAACTGGGACAGTGAGGGAGCAGTGTTCTTCTAAAACCATAGTAACGCAGATAGTGTGTTTTCCCAAGATGAGAAATGAAATAGGTTTCATGGAAGTCAGTGCTGCCAGCTCTTTAGAACAGTGAAGGTGTTGCATTGCAGAGAAGAGAGCCGGGCATTCCACACGTCCTTGGAATGTATGATGGAAATCTGTTCATGGTTTCCGTTCCTTTGTCTAAAATTATGATGTGGCATTTTTAGTTCAGAGATTATGACTGTTATCTTTATTTAACAACCTAACATCCTTCTTAATCACAAAATATAAAGATAATACTGTCCACTTCCAAACTTAAACTTTACAGAGGTTTACGTCTAAAGGCTTTTTTCAGTCTTGATTTAGGTTATATTATCTACATAGTATTCAAGGGGAAGCCTTGTTAACCAAATCCATCTCCCACCCTGCTCAGCATCCAGGATAAGACAAGGTTGGCACATCCAGGGATGTGTAGCTGTAGACTAACCCTACTTGTCCTATTTCCCTAGGTACTTATAAAACATTTCCAAGGTCAAGTTACTGAGCTGCAAGGTAAACAAGAATCCCTTGCAGTTTCTCAAGCTCGAGAAGAAATCCTACAGAACCAGGTAAGAAAGTAGAAATAACCAAAATATTGGACTAAATAAGTTTTTCTTAGGGATTTCAATTATGTTAATATTTATGTATCGATTTTTTTCAAACAAATGCACATACTAACATAACCTAGAAGTCTGTCACATACAGAAAAATTATTAGTAACTTAATGTATCAGTCTAGAAATTTGTTTTAATGTGACTTATACAATCAGCATTCATATCTCTCTAAGTAGTAAGTCTTGTAGTTTGTGTTTAGTACAGGCTTCCAGGGCATAACTGCTCAAGATCCAAAGTCCCCTCCCAAAATGGCTGAGCCATCACAGCTGTCTGGGCAGTGACATACTACACAGTTGGTGAGGATGGTATTAATGGAGACATTGTTTCAAATTCCTGCAGAATGTAGGCCACTCCACTCAGATCAGACCTGTAGATGCAGTCCCAGCTATTCCTGGTTGGCAGCACCAACCTGTATCATGTGGGCTGGCTTGTTGGGATATCTGTTCCCGCCCTGTACCCCACAGCTGGCATATCCCAAAGAAAATCACACACCGGACTCCTTAAGGTTATAAACTGATTCACCCATTAGCTAAGGCTTCTAGTTAACTCTTATAGCTTATATTAACCCATTATTCTCATCCATGTTAGCCATATGGCTTGGTACCTTTTTCAGCTGTCAGCTTACATGTTGCTTCTTCAGTGGTCTGGACAGGAATGGCAGAGGGAGCTTTCTCCTCCCTAGCCTTTTCCTATTCTCATTGCCCCGCCTCTACTTCCTGTCTGATTGACCTGCCTATACTTCCTGCCTGGCGAATCAGCATTTTATTAAAATACATGATTGACAGAATACAGACAATTCTCCTGCACCACCAACCAACAAAGACAGAAAAGCCAAGGCCCCTGATGAACCCAAAGCCAGCTAAAGGGGACGCTACTTGGTGGTCTATCCCCAGTCCCTATAGTAAACTGCTTGACACAAGCTAACATGTATACCCCTCTAGCTAGCAGAAACTAGTGTTCTCACTAGTCACAAAAGCCAAGCTGTCAGAACAGAGCAAAGAGGGAGGAATGTGTCCATTTGTAAAAACTGTTAACCCCACAGTCCTTTATCCTGGCTTGAACAGTAAGACTTGTAAGACCTGGTATATGCTCTACTTGTGAGTTCCTTCCAACAGATGGCAAAAAAGACAATGAGTACAGTGGCCTCTGGGAGTCTCAAGGTCCACAGCTGATAACCACCTGCAACTAAATCTATGAGAGACGCTTATCAAGAGCTGAGTTTGTTTTCTGCTGATAATCAGAATTTGTAAAGGAAGGGCCGGGGAAAGATGAACCTTCCTCTCTCTCTCTTGTGGGAAGCAAGTCATGTGGCTCGTGCCTATGATCTTAGCATTCTGTAGACTGAGGCATGAGTTTGAGGTCAGCCCCGGCTACAGAGTAAAAGCCAGAGAGAGAAAGGGACAGATGTGGAGAAATTTGCTTTAGTGAGAATTCTGTTATAGTGGCTACTGCCAGTTTCCCTAGGATCCCATCCCTAGGTTCTGGGCAGGGTTTTCCAGAGAGCCCTGTCAGAGTCTCTAGAAACTGATGTTTCAAAGGAAATGATGCTACTCAGCCCTGAGTTCTCAGTTGGGACAGTCTCCTGTCACAAGCAGCAGATTAATTAGATTTGAATAAAGCAAACGAGTTGATTGGCACTCACGGTGCTCACCACGCTGGAGAAAACTCAGTGGAAAGTGACTATGCAGTGACTTGGACCTCTGCCTTCAGCAAAGAAGAGGAAACCTGTGTGGACCCAGCAGGACACAGGAAAGCCAGAGTTCCAAAGGTGGGAACTGTGGGAAGGAATAAGTGGAAGAAAACTTTCAGAGTGAGATATGATTTTAGATTCATCTGGTGTCTTCTTCGCTGTGCTGATAGGAGCTAAACTGTTGCCAGTAAAGGGCTCTGTCTCCTGCCTTAGACAGAAAAGGATTCCTAGAAAGCTTTTCCGGTTTGTTATGTCACAGTAATCTACAGAAAAACATGTCAAAGCAATAGACAGTCGTGCCGTGTCACCAGCAGCAATATCATTAGACCCAGGCTCCTCTGGAAAACCACCACTGCTCATCAGCTTAAGATCCAGCCCACTGATTCTAGAAAGGGGTGTGTGTGTGTGTGTGTGTGTGTGTGTGTGTGTGTGTGTGCGCGCGCGCACGTGCGATCTTTCATTTCAACACTCAAGATGCACACAGAACCTTTTTAGCCTTAATCAAGGTCCATGTTAACCCAAGTTATAGTCTTATTAAAAGCAAACCTTAGATTTGATAATTAATCAAAAACCATTGTTAATTCAAACATTGAAGAACATTATGCCAGTATCTGATGAGGGCCTTCATACTGCATCATCCCATGGTAGAGGGTAGAGGGGTAGGAAAGAGCCAAGCTTGCTTTTCTAACAGCCTATTTCCAGAATAACTCACTCACTTCTCCAGTAACAACTTCAGTCCTAACTTGGGAGGACGTACTGAAAGCCAAACAGCTGCAGTGTGTGTTTGAAGCCTTGTCCCTTTACGACTGTGTAAGCCACTGTCTGCCAAGTAGAGATGTGTGCCTAGTCTGGATACCTGCTGCTTAATACGGCGTTCATTTACAGGAGCTGCATTAGCGTGGCCAATATAGTCCTACCACTGATGGACACTGGCTGCTCCTGGGCATCCCATCTCAATTAGAAGGGAAAACTCTTCCCACTTCTGACCTCCAAGAACTAGTAGTCTGGTTTTTTTTTTTTTTTTTAAGCTGAACTGTTGCCATGATAAACTGGGCAGTGACAGAGCCCTGCTCTCAGGAGTCACAGTCCTGTGAGCTGTTACCCAGCATCTGAAAGCAGCTGATTGGTGTATTTTACTTTGTGTTCTAGCTCCTCAGGGAAGGAGTAAATCCCTGTCACTTTGTATAGACACAAATGAAGGTGCATTAACAGTGATGAGTTCTGTTAGATCTTTTGTTTATGCATCTTTATAAGGACCATCAGAAAGCTATGACTTAGAAGTTTTCAAAATTTAGTTAAAGCAAATACCCTCGATGTCCTCGGGAATCTACTTCTCTCCATTGCTGTGCTAATGCTGGGAAGGACTTTTCTGTAGACTGCATGTTTGTCCAAACCTTTTTATCTAAAATGCTTCAAATCACACAGCTCTTTAAGGTCACACCTGCTGGAAAGGGGTGCAGATTTTTTAGTCAACCTCTGCTATGTTGTCAATCAGTCTTTGCAAACTCAAGCACATATTAACTTCTGTCTTGGGATTTATGATACCCTTCACAAAAACGGTTCATTTTTCATGAGTCATTACAAATTTTCAGCAGTTACTCAAGTCTTCATTTATTTCCTTGCACCCTGTAATTGTAGAGAAAGGATTTGAATCTCTATCCAGACTTCTAAAGACAGATGCAGGACTGATTACAAATGTCATCATTGAGAAAAAGTTTTTAGTCACTTCATAGAAACCAAGCTGGGCCTGGTGATGCATGCTCGCAATCCCTCATAGAAGCCACACTGCGTGCAATGATGGCATGAGTGTAACCCCAGTACTTGTGATTCTCCGTCTGAGCTGTGCAAATTCCAAGCTAGCCTACATTTGAAACCCTGTCTGAATAAAAGAACAAAAGGAAAAAGAAATCAGTTAAGACCAGCATATGATTTGAGTCTGAGGACTTTTAAGGCCCATGATTTAAAAAAAAAAATTCTTTTGAAAAATCGTGTTGTGCTTACTGTAACTTATCTTAGATATTCTGGAGGCAGTTGTGGCTTCCTGAGCAAGCAGTGGGATATGGTGGGGTTTATGGTAAGATCTGTATGTAAATCCTTAACTGTGTCATTCGCTTTCCATCACTGTCGCAGTACCTGAGACAGCCAGTAAGAAGGAGGAAAGTTAGTATTGAAGTCTCATCTAGGAGTAGTTGGCCCAGATGCCTACAGTAGGATGAAGTCCATACATGATAGACAATCATGTGTTAGAGCAGTATGAAGTCCGCATCATGGGGGATCATACGTCAGAGCAGAGCTACTACCTTGTGACTAGGAAAATCAGAAAGGAAGGAGGTGCTCATGGTCAGTGCTGACACAGTCTGCAGTCCACTGTGAAGATGCCAAGGACATCTCAGAGACTGCATTTTAAGCTCATCTACAACAGCAACCAAAGCAACTACCCCTGCTGACACTTTATATCACATCTGACTGGAGAAAAAGAAAAACCACTTCCTTATAAAATCTATTCCCCAAAACCGGGGGAACAACCACAATGGGTACAGAAGCATTAATGTCAGAGTATAAGAAACATAAAATCGTATACCTAAAGGAACATAATTCTCCAGTACCCCATGGTGAGGGAAACTTATGAAATGCCTGAAAAGAATTCAAACTAATGATCCTAAGGAAATTCATGCAAAAGAATATAAGAAACCAGAACAAAGAAATAAGAACAATTCCAAATGTGAATGAAAAATTGACCAAAGAGAAGTAGCGATTATAAATGAAAGGGGAAGTCTGTGAAGCCAGTGAGCACCACTAAGTGAGCCAATGTTTGCATGGTGGGAATTGTACAAGAAAAAGACAAAGGCATTAAAAATTTATTTGACAAAATATTTAACTGTGTCCCAGATCTTCCAAGAGAAGGAACATTCCAATATCAGAAGTTCAAAGGACCCCAGCTAGATTCAACAACAGAGACCTTCACCGGGCCATATTACAGTCGTGTACTAAAAGTGCAAAACAGGAAATACTAAAATTCTGAATTCTCCAAGAGGAAAGCTTCAAGTTATATTAAAAATAAGGCCTAGTAGATAGAGTCCATATTTCTGATAAACTCTTATAGACAGAAAGAGAATAGAATGATATGTTCAAATTGCTGAAAAAATTCTATACTCAGCAAAGCTACCTTTAGAATAGAAGAAAACCCATTTTTCTTAGATAAGCAGAAACTTGAAGGGATTCACCACCACCAGAACAGGCCTACAAGAAATGCTTAGTATTCTACAGTAAAAAGAATAATAATCGTGCTATTTACAAAACTTATCAGGAAAACATACCTAAAAGAGAATGAGACCAAACCGCTAAGGTAAATAATTAGAGGTAAAAAGGAACAGACTACACAAAGCAGTTAACAAAATGACAGGAGGAAGTTGATACCTGTAATTAATAATCTTGACTTTACATACATGGAATAGATTCACTAATCAAAAGACACAGACTGACCCAATGGACTTTTGCGGGAGCACTCATGTGCTGTCAACAGAGCATTTATCTTACTAATAAAAGATACACACACACACACACAAATGCAAAATGAAAAACTTGGAAATGATATACAATTGAAAACTAGAAGCAAACAAGACTAGCTGTGCTTTATCATAAAGCACTTTAAGTCAGTAACTAAAGAGAGACCAAGGGGTCATTGCATGGTATAGCAGACTGGCTTACCAGTTGTAAAGGTTCAGGTACGCAGCACAGTACTGCTGGAATACATAAAGCAAACAGTATCAGCTCCAAAGGGACAGACTCCAATACTGACAAGTCATGTAGGCAGAAGACCAGCAAAGAAACATGAACTGAAACGCCATGGAGCAAAGTTATCTCATCCAACAACAGAAAGAACATTCTCCAAGGTAGATCATGCATGAGGCCACAAGTCAAATCTCAATAACTATAATCTTACTGTATATCTTTAGACAACAGACAGGATAAAACTATGTCAACAAAAAGAACAACAGGAAATCTGCAAAATGTGGGAAATGAACCACCTTCTCCCCAGCAACACATTGGAAAGCGAAGAAGTTAAAGCAGAAATCAAAAACTCAGTCTTGATCAGGAAAGCGAAAGGACAACATGAAAGCCTGCAGCCGCAGCAACACCACCGAGCAGAGCTTATACAGCAGCAGATGTGTACATCAGAAGACAGCATGCAAACCCAAACCGGAAGATCAGAGTCTGCGGCACAGCCAGAGCACTGAGCTCGTAAGAGAGAGCGAGACCAAGACAAGATTCAGAAGTGCTTGCTTGGCAAAACACAAAATTGTCAAACCTTTAATTAGACTAGTCAAGAAAAATAATATCCAAAGACCAAAAGGATTTTTACTGATCTGACTCAGTTATAAAGGATCATAAGAAATGGTTATGTATAATTACATGGGAAACTGGTAAGCCCAAAAGAAATGGATAAAATCCCACATGCACACACAGCAAAATTGAATCAAGATGTATGGAATATAAGTAGAACAACAAATGGTAATACAACTGGGGCAGTAATTTAGTCTGCTGTCTAAAATCAGAACTCATTGACCAACCCAGATTTCTACAAAACCTTTAGAAAGAAAATTATTCCAGTTCTTTTTAAAATAATCCAAGAAACTGAAACCAAAAGAACTCTGCTAAACTTGTTAGAGGCCACCATTACCCTGATACCAAACAGATGACAAAATATGAAAACTGTAGCCCTGTATCTGCACTGACTGCAGATTCTCAACAAAATACTGACAAACTGAATTCAAGAGCACATCACAGTGCTCATTCACTGTGATCAGCTAAAAACTTCTACCAGAGATGCAAAAATGGTTAGGCTTGATTCAAAACAGTAAACGTGATCAAATACCCCACAGAACAAAAGGAATACCCATAAAGCTAGAACAGCAAAGCAAAAAACAAACAAACAAACAAAAAACCATAGCCACTGTCACTACTCTTGTTTAGTACTATGATCTTGACAAAAGAAACAGAAGGCATCCACATTGAAAAGGAAGAAGGTAAATGATTTATATTAGCAAAATTTTGGGGCATTATATGTTAAAAACTCTAAATTCTCCATTTTTAAAAAAGCAGTTAAGTGATTTAAAAAAATTCAGAAAAATGGCAGGACACAAAAATCAGCATACAGGGACTGAGGGACTGGAGTTAAGAGCGCTGACTGCTCTTCCAGACCTGAGTTCAAATCCCAGCACCTACATGATGGCTCACAAGCTTGTGTAACTCTACCTCTGCATGAAATACCTACTTTATTACCTTTATTAAAGTAACTACTAACTATTAAGATAGCTGAGGCTTCTATTGATACTATTTAATACCTACTGAGCATGGATTTAGTAGTCAGTGTATTATACTAGTATTAGATGTTAGAAATTAGAAGCTGTAAAATCAGCTGTAGTCCCACTACCCCAAAATATATTTTGCTATGTCTTTTCCTTTTCACACAGGATACAAACAGTATGTAGGTGTAGTCACTTGTGTGTGGATGCATGTGATTTTTAAACGTTTAAAAGTCTTGCCTAAAATGTATGCTGAGATAGGTTTTTCTGTTGGTGTGTAGCTCCATTAGCTGTTTCTTACACCATTGAACAAGACTGACAACAGTAGAAACAAGTATGGAGAGTTGGGTCTGAATGGACTATGCTAAGGAAATGGATTAGTTTATGTGATTCTAACCATATCCAAGGAGTGGGTACTGTTTTTCCCATTTATATCAAGAAAATGAAATAACTTTACCATTGTTACTAACCAGCATACAAAAAGAAATGCCAGCGTTGGACCCATCAGTAGTAGAAAAACCTAGGTTCTAGAAATACTAAGGACAAAGTAATCAGCAAGTCCTGCTCTGTGATCCTTAATTTTGTGGAATAACAGAGTAAACAAATGTAAATATAATAAGATGCTGGTATCTATAAAGTTCTTAGCACTAACTCACTGCAGTTTGTCCACTAAGACTTCTTTAAAACTCAAGCCAGTGGCATCTGCCTTTGCATCCTGCCACCCACCTCTTAGGAGTTCTCCCCACCCTACAGATCCTTGGCCATGTTAGAATTCTCATTTACTTGTTGGCTTCAAAAGACCAGGAATGCGCTGTGGGTGTTTACACAAGACAGCAATAACTTAAAATGACAAAATTATTTTCCAACCATGAAAACCTTATGAGGAACTGGTGGTGTAGTTCAGAGGTACAGTATACAGCAGTATACATGAGACCCGACTCATTCCTCAGAACTCACTCCCAAAAACAAGTTTACAAAAATCAAAGTATTTGACCATCCGTTCTGTATGTGATTATGACTCCGTCAGCTTTTTGTTTTGTCACCGTGCCTGGGTTTTTCCTAAATAACTTTTAGTAATCATTGCATAGTGTATACCATCCTCATCTTCATGCCCAGCAATTAGGTTCTCCCTGGGCTTTCTACAAACCACCCCAGCTCAAGACAGCATATTTCTGTAGTGACTGTGATAGCATCAGGATGTTGCTCATTTAAAACAGTTTGATTGCCGCTGATTGAATATGCTTTTGTATTCACTTTCCCCTACTAATTCAGGTAAGATTGAGAGAGTAGCATTGTAATTATTAGATAGTGGGTATTTCGTATAAAACATGATTGAATGTGGTAATGTATCCATCTTCATTTTCTTATTATTGCCTTTGATACAGCAATCGTTGGAATCAGATCTCTGGTAGAATGACTCACTATATGATAGAAAATGTAGTTAGTTGCTTCACTGAGTCTAAGATGACAGTTTCTCAACCCCTCCATTTTACTCCCAGTGCTATAAAAATAGCTCCCTTTCCCTGTGCTGAGAAACAGATGCTGCAGTACTAACCCAAGAGGGCAAAGACTGTGCCTTTCATCTCACTGCATCCTGGGGTCCCAAAGAACAGTCAGCCAGGAAAGACATCTTTCCCTCCATCTTCCCCACCCTGGCTCTGCTCTGTTCTCCTCTGCCCAGCAGCCTGTATCTGTGGAGCAAATTACTGAAATTCTAAGTCGTATAGGGGCCACCAGAGAATCACCAATAAAATGAGTTCTTTCTGCGCATTGAACTCAGTGCTGCGTGGCTGAGCTGTACTGCAAATCCTAACAGCGGTTACTGACACCTTGAAGCCAAAAAAAGCACCCACCTCACTTGAACCCCGAAACAGTCGTGGGAGGAAGGTGGTCTGAACATCTGGAACCAATTCGAATGTGAGGTCAGCCCAGCTAGAGCGACTCTTTCCTTCTTAGACATGAGAACGGAAGCTGTTAATTTCTAGATGAGTCCAAGCTGCCACTTGAGAAGTTTTATACAATATTCTTGATTTTCAAGATTATCTCTGAAAATAATTGTTTCCTTGTGATTGTGGTTTTTCCATTCCAACTTCAATTTTAGATTACAAAACTCTTGGAAGAATTGAAAGAAGCCAAAGAAAACCATACACCAGAGATGAGACATTTCATGGCCTTAGAAAGGAAAATTCAGCAGATGGAAATGAGGCATAAGCAGAGAGAGCTGGAACTCCAACAGGTAACACAGCAGGGCTGGGTGCATTACTGCAGCCCTGTACTCTAAACACCTTTTGTTGCTGCGACTTCTACATCCCTACCAAGCACTCTTCAAGTGTTCCCATTATCTTTTATTGGTGTATTTTATCATATGAATATTTCATCTGTATGTATGTCTGCACTCCAGGAAAGACATCGGATCTCATGGGACCTCAGTTATAAGCAACTATGAGTCACCATGTGGGTGCTAGGAATTGAACTCGGGACCTCTTGAAGAGTAGGCGGTGTTCTTAACCACTGAGTCACCTCTCCAGGAACTTCCCCATTGTCTTTTTAAAATTTCCTTAAAAGTATAGTTTTGGATTAAATATAAGACTTAAAATCTCAAATACTTTAATATTGATTTTCCTTATATTTTGAGAGGAAAAACTTTTATCATGTCCTTAAGCACTGATAGGCAACTAATAAGTTTTATGTTTTTTACCCTGGGAATAGTACTTGATATTCAAATCATTTCATATATTTATAAAATTTATGTTAAAAGATGGTCATTGATGTGTTACATCCCTAGCACTAGGAACAGGCTTACTGCATTGAAAGGCAGAGACTGTGATGTTCTAGGGCTGGCCTCCGTGCTAATGCACAGCTTTCCACAGCAGCTAGTCAGCTCAAAGCGCCGTAACAAGTCTCCTAGATAGACGGTTGTCAAGTCAGGATGATGGCTTTTCGATTTCTAGTGAGGCTGTCTTCCTGGCTTACAAGCTGCATTCTTGAATGACTTTTACTTGAGGCAAGAAAGCTCTCTGATGTGTCTTTTCTTAGGAGGACACTGCTCCTATGAGCTCAGGGCCCCATCAGTACAACCTCATTTAACCCTATTTCCTCACTCCAAATACAACCACACCAATGGTTAGAGTTACAACATGTGGACATTCAGTCCATAACAAGTAGTAAGAAATTTATGTAAACCTTTGAAGGAAAAAAAAACACATAAGCTTGATGGTTGATCTGAGTTTGAGTTTCCCCCAAGAAGCCCTGGGTATACCTATTTAATATTCTCCTGTTCTTTAAAACTGTTAAATGTTTCTCATTTCCACTATGAATTGGAGTAATATTCTAATTTTTTTATGTTTTCAGATAATACAGCAAACACGCCAAGTAGTAGAAACTGAGCAAAACAAAGAAGTTGAAAAATGGAAGAGACTTGCACAGTTGAAGAATCGGGAGCTGGACAAGTTCCGCACAGAATTGGACTCCATCCTAGATGTCCTGCGAGAGCTGCACCGACAGGGGGTGGTGGTGCCTGTTGCCCTTGCAGATGAAGTAAACACAGCAGGGTTTTAGTCGGAACTTGGATCTGAGTGACCTCACTACAAGACCACTGAGGATGTGCCACTGTCGGGACAGCTTTGGAAAAATGGTTCTAGTACAGATGTGTGTGCACAGCACCGGAGTTACGTCAGAATAAACCACCTGGAACCAGCAAGGAACAAAGAACAGTGGTCATGGTGGAGTTTACTGAAAACCCTTAGCTAGCACATCGGAGATGACTCGGAGCAGGCTCCCTGATGCCAGAAGGCCATGACTCGCGAGGTTTACTGCAGGAGGGCTTGTTCCCAGGCCACCGTGGAAGGAACACAGTGCTCATCCTCAGCCTGCTTTATCCATACATGTGTACTTTCCGTTTTCCATACGACAGAGCATCTGCTCTTTCTCATGTTCTGGGAAATGTTCGGGGACAGGAATATGGGCCGAGTGCTGGGGACAGTCTCATCAACTGTCAACTGAGATAGAGCGTCCTCGGTAATTTAGATGACAGTTGGAACTTCTGTACAGGGAAGCAGCAGGTTTTCTTGGGCTTTTTGGACCTGATTTAAAGTGACAACTACTGGCACAGTTTGATGTGTCCATTACTGTCAGGTCTGGAAATGACAGTCCTGATTTTTGGCAGCTCTAAAGTTATAAACAATTTAAGAAGTTTTACTTTTTCTGTTGAAAGAGAGCAATTATGTCCATTAGGGAAAAAAATCTGATAACAATAGCTAGCTTATTTTATAATCCCATCTTTAAAAGCAAATCAGGGATATATAACATGTGGTTAATCAAAGTCACAGCCAATTGGCTTTCCCACGTCTCTCCCAGTCTGCCATACAGCCCTTGCTGGAGAGTGCTATCCATGGAGACACACCTGGTGTCTGTACTGGGTCCTCCCTGATCATCCAGGACATCTGGTTGCTCTTACTAGCCCCAGGCAGCATAAGAGTTGCATAGTAAATTTAATTTTTAGTCACTTTAAAATGTAAAAACTGTGAGCTAAATCTTTAGAATATAATTTACATTAGTAGCACATTTTGACTTGGACTACATTCCAACTGCATGTACCAGTAACTGCAGTTCTGAGTTAATACTTGCTAAGTAGAATGTTCCATAAGGGACAAGAGAGCAAAGGTTGTGAAGTATATATAGCACCTGCTAAATAGAAGAAGTGTAATCACTGTCTTAATGCCAACATTTTGTAATGTTTTTTGTTTCTGAGAGGGGAGTAAAACATTTTCAGTTTTTTCTTGTACAACATTTCAAAGTTATAATACAAATAATTTATTATTTATGTGTTTTGTGTTTATCAGTATACATGTCTATGAATACATAGCTTCCCACCCCATCCCAGGTTTTTTTGACTGATTCTATATATGAGCCTGAGCCACTCAAAGTATAAAGCTGGTTCTAAAACAAGGAAATTGTAGAAAAGGTCAATGTTGACTAGTAAGCCAAGTTCAAACTCATTATTTCTGTTTGTATGTGAATGCCCTGCACGAACTTGAGAAATGGGGACCAGCGTATCCAGGAGCTGTAGCAATCCTGCTGGCCGCATCCAGTTTCAGCATCCTTGCCTTGTAAGGTGGGCTGCTGCAGTGGTCTAGAGAATGCACAGTGACTCTTAGTGAAGTAATGGAGTTCAGAGGGCCCTATTTACTACTGTGTGGTCCTTAAAAGTCTAATTATCTTTTTAAGCTTCGTCTGGGAAACATAAAAGTAGAGGCATCCTGGCTTTATTGGTCCGAATGTGTTTAGAGGCTACGATGGCTTAGGAGAGTGGGAGAGAAGTGAAGAGCAGAGAACACAAGTTTTTAACGCTAGGATGGAGGTGTTCCTTGGAACAGAATGTGACCCTACAGTGGAATGACCTGGTGTGAAGGCTGACTGGGCTGGGCATGTGGGGCTGCAGAATTCCAGTGAGCTTTTTTCCCTTTGAGACAGTCCAGGTTTAACTCAAACTTGAAATCCTCCTACCTCAGCCTCCTCAGGGCTAGGACTGCAGGGTATAAACATCACCCAAGTGGGCTCCTAATGGTTCTGTTTCTGATGGTGCTGGCAGTGGTGTTTTAGTTTTGAGACAGGCTCTCATCTAGTCCAGTGCTGGGATTTGAACCCTTTGTGCATGCTAGTCAAACACTCTGTTGACTGTGCTGCACGCCCCCACCCTGGTGAACTCCATTCAAAGTGGCCATAGCAGCTTTTCACCACCAGAGGGCATTAGCCCTGCATTGACTGAAATATTAATGTCCTATCCTAAGTCAGGTGCTAAGAAAGCCATCTAAAGCTGGTTTACCTGGAGGCAAAGAGTCACCAACCCTGGTTGCTTCTACACCTGTAAGTGGACCTGAGTCCCAACAAGCTCCCAACGGTGAGATATGAACTGTAACCCACAAGGACTTGTGGGGTTTCTTATTCAAGTAGAATTTAAGGGATTGATATAAAAATTCATATGAAGGAACATTAAAGTCAGATCAGACCAAACATACAAATACATACCCACAAAGCAGAGATTCTGAATAAAGAGCTCATCAGATTGGGGATGTGATTAGGGATGTAGCTCCGTCAACAGAGTACTTATCTGGTATGCACAAAACCTGGATTCGAATCCCAGCGCTGGACTAGATGAGATCCTGTCTCAAAACTGAACTTTGCATTTCAAGGAGTTACAGAGGGCTCCTAACAGCTTGGATGAAACAGGATCGAAAATGACTGATAGAAAATTAGAGAAGTTTAGGGATAGAATGTTACCATGTAATTGTCACGTAAATATTAGAACACTCAAGGGTCCCGGAGGACACTGTGCCAGCCTATATATTTAGGCGGACTTTCTATTTACTATTTACTTAAGTTTTTGTAACAAACAGCTTCTTGCCGGACATTTTTTTCCATCTTGATTTGAATTAATCCCAAAGGAAGGGACAGTGACATCTTTGCCCTTTACCAGAAAACTTCCTGGTCAACAGTGTTATGATAATCTCCCTAGCAGTTCAGAAAGCCGTATCTCCATTCAGGGTCTGAGGAACAATTCAAATCCCTTTCTTCTAACCAAAAGCAACGCTAGCAGGGTGTGTTAGAAAGAAAAAAAGAATATGTATGAAGGTATGAGAACAGCGATGCTTTGCCAGGAGGAAAGGGGCTTCCGATGGGCCTCGGCAAAGCCCTTGTTGCCTCTACCTTCCTTCTGCGTGTGTTTAAGAAGTGACTTTGACAGATCTCTGTCTGTCCTTTGGTATTGCAAATTATAAGAAGATGCAAGTATAATAGGTGGCCCATCACTTGCAAAGTTGGCATTACCAGGACATGAGACAGGACTCTGGCTCTGATCAGACACTTGCCTAGGTTATGTGGAATGACTTTCAAGCCTCCTAATCCCTGATAGTGCCGTGACTCTTAGGAGAAACCCCGCTAGCAAAGTGCCACAGCAATAGCGGTTCAAAGGCAATAGCTATGCTGCTGTGCTGCTGTAGTGGTTTATAAAATAAAGTTTACTAAGTTTTCTGAGAATTTTTTTTAACAGCGCTTGCTGTGTGATTCAGGATGGCTTTGAACTCCTGGCATTCCTCTTGTCTCAGCCTCCTAAGTGCTGGGGATTATAGGCATGCCGTTCTGGACTTAAAATCAAAATGCTCTGGATTTCCCAAATCATTATCTGAAAGTCTACTTAGGACAAAATTCTGGGAGCACTTTTCTATTTATAAAGCAGCCTTTAAAATCATGATACTTTTCTAAGGATTAATGGGTGCTGCAAATAAATAGGATTTCCATAATATCACCAGAAGTAGTGAGAGTAAAAGGACGGAAACCAAATGAGAAGCCTTCGTAAGTGACCTCAGCTTCACATTGCTCACGGGAGAAATCATCCCCCCTCCCCCGGTGAGAGTCACCTGGCACACTGAGTATGGTGGGAAGGCCAATTGTCTCATGCAGCGACACTGAGTTCCTGCAGTTGGTTCCACTCAGACATAGTTGAAGCTACACAAAGGGCAGCTGACGCACATCACTGAGAAAGGTAGGACAAAAATTCCAGACAGCAGCAGGCATCTACGAGCAGGGGTACATGTGCCTCCCAAGGAGGGCCCGAACAGGGCTGAGAATACAGGAGCTCAGAGGCCAGATGCTGTTGATACTGTTAAGGATCTGATTCCTCCAAGAGTACAGGGATGAGAGGAGATGTCCCTGAGATACAGCCACACATTGTCATCACAAGCCATTTAGAGTTTGGGTACTTTGGCAAATAATTATCCCATTATTCCTGAAAGTGAAGCAGCAGCAACAAAGACAGAAAAGCTGGAGAAGTTGAATAATGAATTAAATAATTCCAAATATGTTTTAAGTGCCCCTTGCATTATGTAGGAAATTGACTGTCTAATACGCTAAAGTGGAAAAGAGAGAGCAAGGTAAAATTATTCATGAAGAAGCAGGCTGGTAAATACTCAGTTAATGCCACATTCTCCCATTGAAGGACAAAGGACCATTCCGTAACAGTCTTGTTGCTGTACCACCGTGATTGTGCCCCATCTCATCTTATCTGGGAAGCTCAGCATCAGGCTAGGTCGGTTCTTAGGTGAGAGGATGTAGTCACAAGCTACGTTGAAAGCTAGTGGGGTTGTCTCCCTTGAGTTTTGAAATTTAACGGGACCTATGACCCATGAACAGGAATTTTATAATCTCCATCTTAGACTTTTCACAACAGGGGACCAAAAATATTTTCTAGTTCTGCAGGTCTGTAGATGGGGATGACTTTCTGCCCAGGACTGACACTGGCTGAAGTGGTTCAAATAATAACAATATGTAGCTTGAAGCTGATATGGATTGAAAGTAGCATTTTGAGATGTTTTACATGGAAGACAAACTGGGCAAAGAAGACAGGAAAGGCTACTGGCTACCAACACATCCACATCCTCATCTCTGGAAACTGGTCCATTGTTACTTCCCATGACAAAAAAGAGACTTGGAGTGGGTTATCTTCAGTATCCAATGGAAGTAAACCAGAGTCCTTGTCAGGGGAAAGCAGGACAGTCAGAGACATGGTGAAAGATGTCACAGTAACATGAGATCATGATCCAAAGATTGAGCCACTTGTAGAAACTGATAAAGGCAAGATGGTAAATTCTTCCCAGAGCCTCCTATGTTAGTCTCTTTCCCTTCCTGTGCAAAATACCTAAAAGAAATGTGGAGAATGTATTTTGGCTCATGGTTTCAGAGGCCTCAATCCATGGTCTTTTGGTTTCACCCTTCTGGATACATCAAGACAGCAAGAACATATGGTGGTCAGGGAACAAGGACCAGCAGCTTCCCAAAGTATACTAACAACAAGGTTCTCTACCTCCTAAGTTTCTGACGCCTCCATTAGTTCATTAAACTAGGAACTCACTATCTATTAATGAGCTGATAGCCCCCATGATCCAATCACCTCCCAGAATCCCATCCTGGCCATTGCTGTGCTGTGGACCAAGTACTCAACTCATGAGCCCTTGGAGGACATTCCAAGTCCAAACCACAACTTTTCTAGATGAAACACAGCACTGTTAATACTTTATTTTTAGCTGTCTGGGGCTGATTTTAGACTTGTATACTATGATGGTAAGAAAATACACAAGCCACTGTCTGCCCTAATTTACTATAACAGCCATGGAAAATTAACTCAGAAACCCAACATCTACATGATTTACCTGCAGCCTGCTGGGCTGGAATGAAGTTCTTAGTCTTGCTCAGAAATCTTGTATCTTCAGGAAGCATCCATAAGGCTGAGAGAGCCTAGCCTGCTAACTTTTTAGGGGTTGTAAAGTTTTAGGATTTTCATGATCCTTAACATTTATTACTTAAAATTAAGATGCACTCGGGAACATTCCTCCTCCTTGTTAGTACTCCAAGTTCTCTTCTGGCTAATCAACTTCACAATATGATCTCAAATACCTTTCAACCACTGTTATAAAGCAGCCCATGATTTGTATTAAATTGAATAAATTGTCACTACTCATGCAAGTTAGTAAGATGAATCTTCTTGTGTTGTATAGAAACATACATGAAGGTACCCTGTATCTGTAAGGATTAAAGTGTTTTTAGTTGTATTATACTAAATAGTCCATGCTTTGTTCTGCTATTCTTTGTTAGTCTCTTAAAGAATCGAACTTCCCTTCAAAGTCATTTTGAGAGAGAATTTACTTGGGTGACGTCATTCCCAACCACAGTCCTGTATGACTTAGTCTAGGATCCCTGAGATGACATTGCCAGCACACACTCTCAGAAATCAAGAGACATTGCAGACATGGGCTAGCTTTTCAGAGAAAT